CTTAAAGCATGTGTATATAAATGAAACCAGAGGTCATATGTTAAATAAAGGAATATTTATATTTTTATGAATTTTAACTGAAAATTGATATTGTTAGCTAAACTTACCATTGTTTTTCCCAACAGCTACCTAATCTCTGGAGATGCTGATGGTAAATTATATATCTGGGACTGGAAGACAACAAAACTGTACAATAAATTTAAAGCACACGATGATGTGTGTATCGGTGTGTTGTGGCATCCTCATGAAACATCTAAGGTGGCCACATGTGGCTGGGATGGTGTCATCAAGTACTGGGACTGAAGGGAAAGAGTCAACTTCCAAGAACTGTAAAAGCTTAGTATGTCAAATGTGATACCCCCGGTACTCCCTATTTGTGAAAGGGCAGCTCAGTGAATAATGAAATGCATTAGAGAAATAGGTGGTTAATGATAAAGAATTTGTTATGCCAGGGCTTCAGGTAGGAAATGAGAATAACATTTCCGTTTTAATATAGTGGAAGGAATGGAATGATTTTGTCTTTATCTGTACTGATCACACATTCTTAACATTTATACAATGTATTACATTTAATGTTCACGTTTCATACTATTCAAATCATTACAATAAGAATTCATCAGTCCATTCAACCTGTTGTACAAATCTGTGTGCTTATTGATAATAAAGGCAAAATGACAGAAAAATTCTTCTTGGTGTTTGTTTGGCTAGTCTAGTACATTTTGGATCAAAATTTGATGCAGGTATTTTCAAAATATACAGAAACACAATGTTTCTGTTTGAATGTAATGCATTAAATAATAGCGGTAATTTGGAATTTTTTCCATTTCAATTACAATTACCATTACTCTAATTCAGAAAAGTAAATTGCAATTACTTTACTATAATAATGAATTACATTACACATTACATTTTATATGAAAATAATACAAATTTTATGACCACACAATTCATTTATCAATCTAAGTTAGATTGTGGTATTTGGTATTTTGGATTTATATACATATAGTTTACCTATCATAACATATGCTTAACAAAAATTGATATTTTGAAAATTACATGTGACTTGATGATTTAATTGTACAAGTTTATATTGATAATTTAATAAATCATCACTTTTGATTATATGTGGCTGGGCAGACATAACCAATGAAGATATATAGGAGTTCGGTGAACAAAGCATACAGAATGCCTATAGCTTTAGTTATGTTATAAAAATCTTATTCAATTTGTGAATTTAGTTTTTAGAGTAAAGTTCTCATTATTGAAATGTATGAAATTATGATAAAACTTTTCTGAGGAAAATTTTCTCAGAAAAAAATATTCTGTTGTTGAAAATTACTGTGGTATTCATAGGGCTCGAACCCTAGCAATAAAAATCCTAAATATCATTTTCTTTTGAGACTAACACGCTAACCACTACACTACACAGCTCCTGATGAGTAGTGGCATTTGAACCATGTTTGTTATATGCCCCTTGACAAAATGGACTTCTTTATTTCTCGGAAGGATGCGAATGTTGTGTCATAAAAGTGATTTTTTCAGGCATAGGATCTCTGCTCCATGTTTTTGTTAACTAAAAAAATGTATATATTTCTACGCAAACTTTGAGGATAAACTTTCAAAAAAATGGAGCAAAGACCCACTCATACCAAAAAATTGTGTTAAAATATGAGAGAATGATCCTTTTTGCCCTCTTTAGTGTATGTATGCTATTTCATATGAAAATAATTTCAATCTTTGTGATATTTTTGCAAATTGTGGAGACTTTACATAAAGTATACTTTAATGTTACATGTAGATGAAATATCAAAGAAAATTTTGTTATGATTGAGGTTTAATTTTCCACTTCCATGTTTGTCACACTATAGGCACTTTGCTTGCCTTGTTCGCCCATCTTCTTTAATTAACAAAATCAAAAGTGATAATTACCAGTACCTAGATGTAGGGATTGAAGGTAGAGGTGACTCTGAAACTACCAGTGGAGAAATGATGGCGGACAATATTTACATAATTTTGTCTTAAAGTTTCCCTTTGTCTCGTCCAGTAGATCATACTGATCTAGTATCTTGGTTAAAAAAGTCCATTTAACCAGAATGAACTTTGTGAAAAAACATCAAGTTGAAAACATATTTTGTGTGTTACTAAATAATGGCCACATCTTGATAGAGTATACTAGATTACTAATGTCACTTGTTTTGAGGCTGTCTTTGAAACCTTAACATACATGTAACTCTTGAGAATATAAAAAGGTAAAGATAACGAGCAGTGATCAATCTCCAAAAATCTATAAAGAATACAAATCTGTGAAGAGGGCATAAAACACGGACCCCTGGAAATTCAAGAGTTGGGATCAGCTAGGTGCCTAGGAGGAGTAAGCATTCTCTGATGACCGGTCACACCCACCATGAGTACTATGTATTGATCAGGAAGACAGATCATTCCGTAGTCAAATTCAGCTGTTCAGTACAAAAACAAAGGCCTAGCAATTTGTATGCAGCAAGTCTGCCAAAATAAGGCTTAATGATAGGTAATATTTTCTAGGAAAAAAAAAAGAAAGAAAGTCACTATAACAACCATAGAATTTATAAAATTCCGACTTTAAACAAGGTTGTCGAAATTCCTTTTAATATCAACAAGAAGTAGCCTGCCTTGGTTTAAAAATTGATCGTACTCGGATCATGCTCTCGAGTATCGAATAAGCTGAGAGATGTAAAAACCCTATGCCGGTGATACATGAAGTAGGATATTACAACATTGACAGTGGAAAAGTTGAAGTCCTCTCGTTTGTCATACAATTTAGTTGTTAGTTGGCTTTTATTGTCTATATAGTCAGTAAAACATCCAAATATGAAACGGATGTGGCAAACTCTGTGGTGTCTTTTATTTCAAGTTCATTCGGATATATCGAATCGACGAATGAATGAAAGGAATTAGGAATTTTGATGTTTACCGATTGGCCCAGACTCTCTTTCCTAAGGTGTACCTCAGAGTGACTTCATCTCAGAAAGAAAATCCGAGAGGTTTATTCAGGTTTTCCCTCTTGATTAACCATAGATTTGCTTACATTTTTTCACGTACCCAATCAAATTGCGCGTTGTGGCCTTCAATTCAACATTTAGATATACGTATAGACGACGTTTTATCTATCATTAATATTCATTTTCATTAATATTCATTTTCATTCCAACGTTGATTGATATATCCCTTTGAACTGGAAATAAAAGATACCTCAAAGTCTGACACATCTGGGTTCTAAAAAAACGTTAATGGTAACCTAACAAAAAAACTTTATGATAAATTGGACGACGTCAACTTTTCTATCATCAACTTTCCTTATTTTTCTAGCAATATATCATTATTACCTGCATATGGAGTTTATATCTTTCAGTTGATTCAATACGCAAAATATGCTCTACGTACGAACAATTTCTAAAACAAAGCAAGCTTTTGACAAATAAGTTGATGAAACAAGAATATGAACAGTCTTGTTTTAAGTCAACGTTTCGCAAATTCTGTGGTCGATACAAATTTAATGACCGTGTCAGCATCTACAATCTATCATTAAGTCGAACATTGACTGACATTTTCATACTTATTTTTAGGCCCTTATTTTTACACTAAATTGTCAACGGATTTTTCCTTTTGCCCGATCATGTTAGGGTAGAGTTAGGAAAAGGCGTACACGGCGGGTGTGACCGGTCGAAATGGGCAACTGACCCCACCTCTGACGTTTTAGAGGTCTGTGTTTGCACTGCTCCTGACTTGTATTGTTTGACTGGACTTTTTGAGCTCGAATACTGTTCGTTATCTCCATATTTAATCCCATGAAAAGCATTCGACTCTTTTTGTTTATGGACATTCATATAAGAAACATCCTAAGTGTGGAATATTATTTATTCTTTAATCTAATACGATCATATGCATTTCATAAGAAATCTTTTTTTTTTTTTTTTTTGTATTTTAAACAGTGAAAGCAAATATAAAAAAAAAATGAATTTTAATGCAGAACCCATAGTGGAATTTTTATGTAATAGAAATAATTATGATACATGTATCTTTCAACCACCAATAATCAAAAACATAATATTTACATTTCCAATGTCTTTGTCCGAGATAAAATTACAAATTGTAAAAATACTTTATTTCTACATAAATCTACTGGTTCATCGATAGGCGCGGTTAAAAAAAATCACGTTCGGGGCGGGACAAATAGAGACAGAAGCGGGGCTATTAGCACGGGAATTTGCAGAATCAGGAGCATGTAAATATAAGGAATAACTGTCAAATTTTTTGGATTCATGACGATGATCAATCGATTGGCTTGCATGTTAATTTTATGCATAAACGCCTTCGGCGTTTATGCAAATTATCACGCAAGCCACTCGATTGATCACATCATGAATCCAAAAAATTAGACAGTTATTCCTTAATTAAAACAGAAATTCAGTGATAATAACAACCTTGATTATGATATATCCATACAATTTTGTTTTTATTTAATTTGTTAATATATTAAACGTAAGTTTAATATTTAAATTAAGAGCACAGCAGTACATTCAAAATCTGCAAATGTATTGATAATCAAAAAAAAGTATCCCATACCTTTATAACACTTGACACATTTAATCAAGTCATGTGTCTTTCTTATCAATTATTACACTGTTAAAACGTGTTTTGGTTTTTCTTCAATTTTCAAATTAGAAAAGTACATGTAATATACAATTTTACATGCATATATATTTGCAGTTACACAAAAACCTGTAAAAAAAAATGTTAAATATGTATATTATGAAGACAATTTCTCTTTAACTCTTTAACACATCTAAAACATATTCTGTTCAATCAAATCAGTTGGAAAACATATAAACTCATTAATTAACAAATCAGTTCTCTGACTTATTAGAGGTTACATAAAATTCTGTTCTACAGAACTCATATTATGCGTAAAAAATTAAAATATATTTCAAATCACCTATTAATATACACAAATACTAACAAACACAAACTGTTTACAGTGATACATGTATAAAGAATAAAAAGAAATAAACATAAATTTATCAGGCAATAATAAGACCAAAGCACTGTGTTTCCCTCCAGTGAAGGGAAGACACAAAATAGAAAAGTCTTGTTTTACATTGTTGTCACTTTATAACAATAATTTATATAAAAAAAAAAGTACAACGTGTCAAAGTGTGATAAAATATTAAGAAAAGTGAGTTTCGTACAAATGTAGTAATTTGCAATCTTTCTTCATTTCCGACTTTGAATGGTGCAATTGATCATTTTCCACACTTCAACTGAGTGGGAAGATAGAATGGTCGACGGTAACCGTTGTACATCATTTAACCCAAGCGTTTTTAAGTCAACCTCAGAATAGAGTGGGTCCTCCAAGTGAACCATAAGCGTCTCGCTCAAGCTGTAAATATAACAACACTAAAATAAATGTCCGTTAATTACATTATTGTTAGAATTATTTAATTAATGCTAATAATTTGAAAGAAGAATTCCCATCAACTTTTTAAGATAAAATTTTGTGATCCTATGGTGGTCGAAGGCCCAATGCATCTAATAAAATTTGGGGAAAAAACATGAAAATGTTTGCACATACATGCAAATTAAAAACAAGAGGCCCATGGGCCACATCGCTCACCTGAGCACATTGGCTAGGCAAAAGCACAATCAGTATTGAAAAGACCGGGGGGGGGGGGGGGGGGGGGGGGGGGGGGGGGCTCCTCCCTATCCCAGGGGTCATCATTTGAACAAACTTGAATCTACACTACCTGAGGATGCTTCCATATCAATATGACTAAACATAGCTTTTCTGTTCTTGAGAAGAAATATTTTTTTCTATATGTTCTTATGTAAAACTTTCCATCCCCCATTGGGCCCCATCCTACCCCTGGGGGTCATCATTTGAACAAACTTGAATCTACACTACCTGAGGATGCTTCCATATCAATATGACTAAACATAGCTTTTCTGTTCTTGAGAAGAAATATTTTTTTCTATATGTTCTTATGTAAAACTTTCCATCCCCCATTGGGCCCCATCCTACCCCTGGGGGTCATCATTTGAACAAAATTGAATCTACACTACCTGAGGATGCTTCCATATCAGTATGACTAAACATAGCTTTTCTGTTCTTCAGAAGAAGATATTTTCCTTTATATTTCTATGTAAAACTTTGATCCTCCATTGTGGCTCCGCCCTACCCCCGGGGGTCATGGTTTGAACAAACTTGAATCTACACTACCTGAGGATGCTTCCATATCAATATGACTAAACATAGCTTTTCTGTTCTTGAGAAGAAATATTTTTTCTATATGTTCTTATGTAAAACTTTCCTTCCCCCATTGGGCCCCATCCTACCCCTGGGGGTCATCATTTGAACAAAATTGAATCTACACTACCTGAGGATGCTTCCATATCAAAATGACTAATCATGGTTTGCAGTTCTTCATCAGAAGATATTTTCCTTTATATTTCTATGTAAAACTTTGATCCTCCATTGTGGCCCCACCCTACCCCCGGGGGTCATGGTTGGAACAAACTTGAATCTACACTACGAGGGGTTATCAAAAAGTTCGTGGACTAGCGTCATAAAATTAAAACCGCTTTAGGTACATCAATGAATTTTTACACATTAAGTTGGCATCATCTTTTCTATCTATAGAATAAACCATAAATCATAATTTTTATTTTTTAATAAATTGTTAGTGTTTTTATAAGCAAAGGTATGTCCAGGCGGCGCAACCTCTAAAATGACGTTTTTTTCTACCTGAGTGTAACTGAGAAAAACTCTTTAGATATGAGTATTTGTCATCAAAAAATCTCGTTAATTCAGGCATGTGATACAACACATTTGTTCAGTAAAATTTGCAGTTTTTACCCCATTCTGTAATTTCTATGAAATTTTATCGTAAATTTTATATGGAGTGTCCAAACAATTATGGGCTTGAAAATAACGTCAAACGGGGGGAGGGGTTTCTTTTTCAAACATTCTATAGAGTTTCGCTCCTGGAAAAACTGGTATTGACCTAAGGAATGTTAAACTGGCTACAGAAAAATAAAATGCATCCAGAGTACTTGTTTTTTAATGCCCAAAAAGATTCAGAGAGATGAAATATGCACAGTTAGTGTCGATTTGTAGTCAGGGTGTCAAAAGTCAGTCACGTCGAAAAGTGACGTTGATCATGTGTGGTAGAAATTGAACTCCAACAAGCTAAGTATTCTGGCACAATCAAGTGAGGATCTTTCCCCATATAAAGATCCATTTACAATATTCTATGCATTGAAAACAGCTGCTCATGACATTTTAAATTCGTATAAATAAGACGGGTTTAAGTCCTTACTTAACTCCAGGTAATCTCATCAAGATAAGTGTATGAAGTAGAGAGAGCGGACATTAAGAAACAATGACGTTAAGCGGACGTCATGACACTAAACGGCGACAGCGCCGGGTGATCACATAAAATCTTTTTAATTTCAGAATAATTTGGCAAATTATCAACGTATCAAGCTAAAATTTTCAACATTTCTTAAACTTTTGTTGTTTTATGTTCCGCACAAATTTTGTAAGCAAAGACTACATATTATCAATTTTATTGCGCCAGTCCACGAATTTTTTGATAACCCCTCGTACCTGAGGATGCTTCCATATAAATATGACTCATCATGACTTTGCTGTTCTTGAGAAGAAGATTTTTAAAGATTATTCCTATATATTTCTATGTAAAACTTTGATCCTCCATTGTGGCCCCGCCCTAACCCCGGGGGTCAAGATTTGAACAAATTTGAATCTACAAATTAAACTTGAATCTACACTACCTGAGGATGCTTCCATATAAATATGACTCATCATGACTATGCTGTTCTTGAGAAGAAGATTTTTAAAGATTATTCCTATATATTTCTATGTAAAACTTTGATCCTCCATTGTGGCCCCGCCCTAACCCCGGGGGTCAAGATTTGAACAAATTTGAATCTACACTACCAGAGGATGCTTCCATATAAATATGACTCAACATGGCTTTGCTGTTCTTGAGAAGAAGATTTTTAAAGAATTTTCCTATATATTTCTATGTAAAACTTTGATCCTCCATTGCGGCCCCGCCCTACCCCCGGGGGTCATGATTTGAACAAATTTGAATCTACACTACCTCAGGATGCTTCCATATAAATATGACTCATCATGGCTTTGCTGTTCTTGAGAAGAAGATTTTTAAAGATTTTTCCTATATATTTCTATGTAAAACTTTGATCCTCCATTGTGGCCCCGCCCTACCCCGGGGGTCATGATTTGAACAAATTTGAATCTACACTACCTCAGGATGCTTCCATATAAATATGACTCATCATGGCTTTGCTGTTCTTGAGAAGAAGATTTTTAAAGATTTTTCCTATATATTTCTATGTAAAACTTTGATCCTCCATTGTGGCCCCACCCTACCCCCGGGGGTCATGATTTGAACAAACTTGAATGTACACTACCTAAGGATGCTTCCACATGAGTTTCATCTTTCCTGGCCCTATGGTTCTTGAGAAGAAGATTTTTAAATGATGCCATTATTTTTTCAGTAATTCCTAATTATCTCCCCTTGAAAGAGGACGTGGCCCTTCATTTGAACAAATTTGAATCCCATTTACCCAAGGATACTTTGTGGCAAGTTTGGTTGAAATTGGCCCAGTGGTTCTTGAGAAGAAGTCGAAAATGTGAAAAGTTTACAGACAGACAGACAGACAGACGGACAGACAGACAGACAGACAGATGGACAGACAGACGGACGCCAGACAAAATGTGATCAGAAAAGCTCACTTGAGCTTTCAGCTCAGGTGAGCTAAAAAATTATGTAATCATGTAATTCTTTTGACAATTTCTAAAAGATTTTCAATGACCTCTTAAATGTACTTTAATGTTGTGGCAAATCTGTTCTCTTAAGGCCATGGATTAAAGAAACGTGATTTTTTTAATGGTTTGACGATTTGTAGTTTTGTGGATCTTCTGATGGCAACAATATGTACATTGTACCTACCCTCACTGAACATGTTGTTGTCCATCGGTACATAGTTTTATGTATATATATTTACACTACTTGAGCATGGTTGCTTATCATATGACTAACAGTTAGTCTTTACTGATTGAAGATTGTTGTTCTATCCACTTCGAAGGCCATGATTTGAACAAATTCGAATTTACAGTATAATAGGTAAACTTTTACATGGTTCTGTTTCCTACTAGAATAAATCTTAATTACGGTATTTGTTTATTTTTCGTTGAAATGGACACAACTCTTGAAAAAACATATTTGAATTTCCATAACTCGTGGATGATTAATGTTTGTGGTACATATGGTTGAAAGAATCCAGTAGCTCCGGAGAAAAAAAGTTGAAAATGTTAAAACGTTAAGGCACGAACAGCATAAAACACACAGACATACAGACAGATGCAAGACCTTAATTGATAAGAAAAGCTAGAATTTCTTTTCCAGTATATCTTAATTATAAAAATTTGGTTGAAATAAATTTAGTGGTTTCTGTAGGAAAAGTAGAAACAATGTATAAAATTTATGCAAAATGTCAGACAAAAGCAAATGCATGTAGCAGTCTGAATCTCCTATGTTACCTGTTGGTAAAAAATAACAAAGTTCATACCTGTGTAAATAAGAACCATAGTTCCATTGACCCTGATTCAATGTAAATAAGATACATTCCAACAACTGTTCCAGGATTACACCCAGTTTCTCTGTAGACAAGTCTGTTAAGTACCAGCTGAGGTCTTTACACATCTGTTCGGTCAAAGGTTCTTTGATATTTTCATGAATACTTTCAAAGCCATCCTGAAATTGTAAGTACACATTACATGTAAATCAATTTGCTCTTTTCATCGAATTTTTTAAAATCATATTTATGTATATTACAAATACTCAATACAGATTCCTTGCATACCTTTTCACTTGAGGTAAGTCTCTTTGTCTTTTCAAACATAAACAGAAACCAGAGGGACTGGACGTGGTGAAGTCTACAAGAAACACTGGCCTACAAAATATCAGTAATAAAATTAACAAATCTGTATTGGTCAATAATAAATCTAAGATTATTTTTTGTTTTAATAAAACAGTAACTGTATACCGGGAACAAAATTATCATATGGTAAATTTAATATAAAAAGACTGGATTACATGTTAAATGTAATTAACTCCTACACCCTCTGTACTGCAAGAAATATGCATACCAATCAAATTAATATCTAAGCCATTGCGCTGTCTAAAACATTAATACCTATTAATACGTATTGAAAAGAATAGTTGCGTGATTTTGTGATACACATATACCTTTTGACTTAAAAGCGAACTCATTTGTAAAATATCCTCCATAAATTCACTTAGCAGATCATCGCCACTGCAACTGACGGAAAGAAGAAAGTTGACCACTGTGTCTATATTTTCTATGGCTTCGTAAATATCCGGTAAATCAGCGAAATCAGCAATTATCTGTCTCTGAAGCATACTATCCAAGGGCTTCTATATAATATAAAACATGATTTAACGAATGTTAATTATAAAAAATAAAAATTTATAGTGTTTTCAAGAGTTATATTAGTATACTCTTAATTAATATATTATCAAAACGAAAGAAAAAATTAGATAACTGAATATTTTGTTTTCCATCAAAAGTATGTGTATAAATAAATCGGGTCATACAACACATTCTCATATTTAGTGTTTCTCCATAAAAAGTTCTGATACAGACATGAACCCCATGAAGGGATTGAAAAGCGGGACGGTTTTTTGTTTACCCCAAAACTTGGAAAGGTATAGATGTGAATATGTAAAATGTTCCTTTTTGTTTTGTGAATTTGATATTACCTGATTGATTCTAGCATTTAATGTATCAAATTTCGTCACATCGGCATCAGCTCGAAATACGTTGTTCCAGGGCTACAATAAAAGTCGTTTTTCTATTCAATAATAGCTATTTGCAATGCTTTTTTCACCGCATCACATATGAAAATCATTCAATACAAAGACTATTCTAATTTAAATAAATATTAAAATTTTTAAATAAAAAAAGGCAAAAGAAAATACATTTTCGCGTTTTTGATTCAAAAGTAATATAAATCAAATGATGCTTATTATCAGTAACGTACCCATTTCCATTCACTGACATTCAGAATTGGTTTTCCTTGCAATATTTGATCTTTAATAGCTGATTGAATATGGTCAAAATCGTAATCCAAAGTTGTCCTTTCATCCTTAGCATAAGTGTAATTGCAATTTGATATGATAATAGGAAGCAAGTCGGCCTTGTGATGGTATGAAATAAGATCGCTCGCTGCCAAATCGTCAAAACTTATATCCTTCACATTGCTAGTCCTATCAACAATAGTGACTCAACATAAATAATCTTTCTCATGAAAAGATTAAGGAATGGGAAATCAGTTATCACATTAGAATACCGAATGCTGCATAAGTGCCTTAGATTATGAAAATAATTAATGCTAGTCTTTAAATCATTTGCATTTCGGAAATAATTTTCATACTACTTCATAAATAAAATAAATTTTCTTGAGGTCAAGATCTAGTAAATAACTTCAGACTGTGTATTTGGTTCAACTAGGGTATACGGAAAAGTAGATCCGTAAAACCGACTAGCATCTTTCAAATTTAAAATAAGGAAAGAAATAATTCCTTTTATAAAACAAAAAATTTAGTGATTGCCTTGTTACGTCAAATAAATGCGTTTAAAAAATAGTCCACAAGAAGAGTTTTTCTAGAAATGGTTGACAACTTGACACTTAACCTGTATTGTTATCACAAAGGTCGACAGGTCGAATGGTAAACTCTTATCCCTCAAAATAAAGGTCGACAGATCAACATCAAATTACTAAATCTTATCCATCACAACAAAGGTCGACAGTTGACACCTAATTGGGAAAGCATTTTCTAGAACCCTCCCGAGAGATTAGGGTTACAGTTTTCTAAGGGACTGTAGGCAATCTAGATACATGTCCTTTGTCTGACATGGAAAAACTCTCTTATTATTGACTGATTTCTGATTTTGTATTGAAATGACAGATTAAAGTATGACTTTTCGTCTTGTTTACCTACAAATTATGTCTCGATACAACTTAACAGACCAAGCTATAGTTATAAAGCATCATTGAAGGAATTTATTTTTCAAATTTGAGAAAACTGTCATTTACTAGATCTTGACCTTAATGGAAATATATGTAATTGTTTACCTTGTCTGTGTTAAGTCTTCAAACAATTTCACAAATGCATTTTGCTTCCAAATCATGAAGCGAAAAAGAAGACTGATAATTGTTCCACTTCCTCTAGTGTCAGAGATAAGTAATGATACATTATCAACATCTACATCTATATTACGTTCTAATAGTGCTTCAATATCTTTGTTCATATCCAGTGTATCAAAGTCGAAGTAGAACTTCCGGAAACATTTCCACAGCTCACAAATGGAGACCACTCCGTCTTCGATCTCTTTGCTGAATGGATCTGTAAACGATTTAACATGATTAATGCTTATTTTACTTAAAGTAATGCACAAACATATCAATATACAGGTAACTCTCGATACCTCGAAGTTCGCGGGACCGAGGAAAAACTTCGAGAGATCAAGAGTTCGAGTTTTCAAGAGTCCGGAATTTTCCGGGTTTGTTCACAGGTTTTAAAATTAGTCTTACCGGATGTAATGATTTTCATGCAGTGCTAACCTTTTACACGTGATTTATATAAAACAACGATATTTTTTCGTAATTTAGATGAATATTTCATTAAACTGAGTAAAGCAAAAAATGTAAATCGTCATTTCATGTATATTTATTTATTCTTTGTAATACGGACATCATACTACGCATTCGTTACATGAAAACGACATTTTACCGCGTTGCATACATACATGTAGCATTGACTTTAAATTCCATATTAACATAATCATTGAACGCAGTTCTGTAAGTATTTGTCCAACAATAGTCATCATATTGATATTGAGGCTGTTTATGCTTTTTCATATTTCGTTTAACTTTGACACTGACTCGAAATAAAAATTAGATTAGTGTTTCGTCTTGTAATCAATTACTACTTTTCACTGACATTCCGTCTCTGAATCATCGTAAGACAGTCGATGATAATTATTTTAATAGCACATAGGCAAAAATGATTAATTATAAATCAATTATCACCTTGCAGCATAAGTGTCACCTGAATAAACATCCCGTTCCTCGAGACCCGCGTCTTCTGCCTGGGGCCATTTAAATGTCCAGGTAAAGGTGCTAATTATATAACCTTGTATACACATAGCCACTTCGAGCTATCGAGGGTAAAATCTAATAGAATATGCATAGCGGGACTGCATTTTGACTTCGAGGGATCTAGGGTTTCGAGATCAAGAGTTCGAGAAATCAAGAGTAAATTTGCTTAGTTATATAGGGGAAAAATTCGGGACCGGAGACTCACTTCGAGCGATCAAGAACTTCGAGAGATCGAAGTTCGAGCCATCAAGAGTTACCTGTATATATATATATAAATTTATAAAGAGAGAGAGAGAGAGAGAGAGAGAGAGAGAGAGGCAAACAAGCAAAAACGCAGAATCAGACAATATTACACTGATCAATACATAACCACATTATCAGATCCTTTTGTCTTTTGTATCTAGGTTCTTTTTTTAACACTTTAAAGTTACCTTGTCTACACTGCTGAAGGCAATCTCTTATGGTTAGGGACCTGGCCTCTTCTCTGGTAATCTGTTTTCTGTATTTAGCTTTCAAGGCACTCTGCATTCTCACGACAGCTGGGATATATCTTAGGTATCTTAAGTAACAGTCCTAAAGGTAAAGTGCATCAAATAAATCAGTATCTAAATACTGCATTGGAATATGAAAATGAAATGTCTTTAACGCATTCAATGTTTACATACATGTCTTAAGAATGCGTCTAGAAGAGCAAATCGTTCCACTTCTGGCCCTATTCTGTCTCTCAGCATGTGAAACTCATGGACAAAGTGTTCAAAAGAAACTTTTATTCTATGTTGCCACATAAAGTCACATGTCTGCATTTCATTAAATCTAAACTGTTCACATGATGCTTCATCCAAATCAAACACTTTCCTCAAAACAGGATCTGAGACTGAAAAAGAAAAATTATTAAAAGACATTTCTTCAACTTACATGTAACACGAAGAAAACTGTGATGATAAGTTACAAGTGAATTAACTCACCTATACTGGTGTCCTCAGAAAGGATATCTTCGCATGTCTTGAAAAGCTCTTTGCTCCTCTACATTTTGAGTAATCAACAATATAATGTTTGAAAATGCGCTATTCCTGGCAAGATAATACAATAATTTTACATATGGGTAAATAAAAATCATATTTTACCTTCATTAATTCCACAATGTATGTCAATGAAAATTCCATTTCCCAAAGTTTCCTTCCATCTTTTGTTTTTAAGATATGCAGAGGTATGTCCTGATCATTCCTAATGGCAACTAATAATTAGGAATGACAGTTAACTTAGTAAAGAAATCAAATTCAGTTCAATGTAATACAATATCGAGACATATCTTTTTATATCCATTGATCTAATTCAAGCGAGAGAAAATAACTAACTAAACTGAAAGAGAATTTCTTCGGCATTTTGAGTTGCTTTAGTGCTTTTTAGCCAATCAAAGAAGTTCAAAATTACATATACCTGCAAGAATGGGCTCTTCTTTCAGAAAAGAATGAATAAGTACATGAAGAAGCATAAACACCCCATCCAAGCCCTGATCTAATGTTTTCCTCAATGTGCTAATGTCTACAAGAATGTGATCCCAAAGAAATCCAGGAACATCATCCTCGTCTACAGTAGGGTGAATACATTTTGTAATTTCCTGAAATGATCAATATATATATCTTGAATAACAGTAATATACTCTCTTTTTTCCGAAGAACAAGATAAATTAATATCATTTATCCAAGTTAATAAATAGCAAAGATAATGACTGTCATGGACTGTACTACTAATACATTACATACTTCTCCGTAATTCTTCTGTTTAGGAAATTGCATTATATTTTTTTTAATTATGCTGTAAAACACACTGGTATAATGCACTTACCTCAATATTGTAATTAGCCCCTATAAACATCGAGAGATGTGTTAAAAGTCTTAGAACTGCATTAGAAATTGGAGAAAGATTTCTTTCCGAAACAGCATCAAAAGTTCTGTTAGTTGGTGACCCAAGAATATGACCTCTGCGACTTTGATCATCCCTAAAATAGGTTACAGAAGATATTAACAGAGGACTTTCTTATATTTTCTTTGAGTTTAATTAGACGATGCATTTAATCCTATCTAGTATAAATGATTTCATACATACCCAGTATACCTTACATTGTCTTTACGATTAATTTCCGATTCTGAACCAATTTCCGCATGGCATTCAAAGCAATGACCTTTCTGGGTAGGATTTCCACACTGAAAATAAGTGATACCTAGTGTATTTTTGTTTTCCAAAAATCAGACACGAAAGAAGGTGATATAAAAGTATTTTATTAGAGAAGTTTTTTTCTAAAATATCTGTTCAGAAATATAACACTCAATTAACACACTAGTGATAGCGTTAAGTCCTGGTGTTCTGTGTATTAAATTGATTTATCAGTCTCTTGAACAAGAAAATCCAGAGAAACCATAGTCGATATCGACACTGGAGCTATTCAAATAAGCAGGGGATATAGGACATAAAGAAGTATGAAAGACAGACACTTAACCATCGAAAAAACCTTTTTTTGTCTTCCAAATCCGAAGCTAATAATCCTAATATGTCGCATATATTTCAATTATTTTATTCAGTTCTAGTACATATGGAAACAATAGGAATAACTCTTTTAATGAATCTTCATCCATTGATTAGTTAGGTAAACAGAACAGACACTTCCTTAATATCTTTTGTAGTTTCAAAATTCATACAATTAAAATTATCATTTCTTCAATATATACATCTACAATGTATATTGTTGACTTGCTTGTAATCCAGTTCTATATACAGTAAAACTTGTCTAATCCGGATGTTGTGTAATCCAATATTTTGCCTAATACGATGTGCCTTTCAATAAATTCAATTGTTAAAAATGTTTTCTTATCCGGAATATTGTCTAATCTGGCCATTTCTTTGGAACCAGTGGTGTCCTGATTAGACAAGTTTTACTGTATATTTATAAAACTTACATCCCCAACTCCATAAAGATGGCCGTTTGGACAACCTGATAAAAAGGAAATTTGAATTTATGACTTTTTATCAGAAATGTTTACTTTTTCATGTACATTCCTAATATGTCTCACTGAAACAAATCAATAAAACGTAATACTCACGGTACCACGTAAAGTTGTGGTGAGCTTTGTTTGCTATTTTCTCCATTCTCTGAAGTTCTTCTTGGATCTCTTTAGACAAACACTCCTCAGACATCGTTGGTAAGAAGGCACCCTAAAAGAGTTAACAAGAAAACGCTTTTGATGGTACGGCTGGACTGCTATTAAAAATTTATTTATATACAATTAAAAAAGTATAAATGAATCAATGAATCATGATACATCAATATATCAAGTATATATATATATATATATATATATATATATATATATATATATATATATATATATATATATGCACATTAAACAGAACAAAGGACAAAATATAATAATACTTATAACTCAAACCCATGTATCAATATGCCAAAACTCAATTTCAAAGATTATTTTGGAAACCATTCAAATTTTATTAATATTAAAACAATAATTATTTTTAAAAAAAAAAATACCTCCTCAGATTAAGTATCAACTAGATTTTTTAACTAGGGGAATGTTATTTATTCTATAAAAAAATAGCTTAAATAGCAAATAACTGGGTAAATATAACCTCCAAGATATTTGGTTCAAATGCTAGGGCCTGTAGTGGTTGCAAAGGTCCTTTATTTCCAGTCACTTTCAAAACGAACATCAAATGGAAGATGAGAAATATAATGCTTTCATCATGCATATTATCACAGAGCCTGAGGTTTAGCTGATCACACGATCTTCCAACTGAATCGTCAAATAATTCCTCCAGATAATCCTGTTTAGAATTCAGTAATTAGAATTTAGTTATTTAGTAATAGTAAAAAATAGATTTTCAATTATTCAAGTTCTACAAAATAAAATTAAATAAAATCTCACCATCACAATTTGAAGTTTCTGGTTTTTCAATAATTTCTGCACTTTACATTTTAACTACAAAATACAAAAAAGAAGGCTTATAAGAAGTATGATGTTTCGTAATTTTAAGTTCCCTTCAAATAAAAATAAAAAAATATGATTCAATTTACCGCTTGTTGAAAAAAATTCACCTGTTCTTTAGTTTGAATATTTTCTTCTTGAAACAATGATCGGGATTTCAATTCTTTACAGAGTCCCAGAAGGAAAAATACTTGAACTGTTCGGGATTTGTCTTTGAGCTTCAATCAATTAAATAAAATGAAAAGTTATATACAATAAATATGATATAATAAAATTATACATAGAAAAGTATAACAGTAGGGTGTCCAGAAAAGATATTACAAGCCCTAGATAATGAAACCGATAATTATAATGAGGAGAGAGAGAGAGGGAGGGAGGGAAGGACGGAGGGAGGGAGAGAATCTTATTGTGGATATGCTGTTTTCAGAAGACTATTATTGGATATATCTGACATATTTCATTAAAATATTTGATTCCCTATTGTGAACCAACCCTATTCCCTATTGTCAAAGTTGAATCTAAACTACGAGGGAAATTCTGAAAACTATTTCAACTAATTGTGGCCATGCTGTTCTGAAAAATTTTTTTAAACAATTATTTTTCCTTTATATTTTATGGAAATTATTGAGCCCCTTTTTTGCTACGACTCTGGAACCAGGGCCTTCTATAGAGGAAGAGAAGAGGATTTTCAAAAATCTATCCATTTTCACTATAAAATCAATAGAGCTCCGCTTTGCAGACCATTATCAGAGAGCCCCTGACAAAGGGGTCATTAATTTCACAGTTTTCATAGAGGGCTTAATGCTTATTACAATCATACCAACAGTTTGACTGCTTGATGACCGGGATTAAATGAGAAGACTTTTAAAGATTGCCTTAATTTTGATGATTTAAGCCACATCCCTCATGTCCTATAGGGCATTTCCTATATAGGGGCACACAATCTTTGTTATCCTTTACCCATTGGTTCAGGAGGTTCAGAGAAAGATGCAAAATTTTCAAATGTTAACACAAGACGGACGTTGGACGTCGCACGACAGAAAGCGAAGTGCCACATGTGTGTCTGATGACTTAAAACCTTGTTTTAAAACAGAGATTTACATGCAAACGGGCAAAACCTACTTTGTATACAATTACCTTTAATTTCCTTGACATGTCTGTGGGTACCAGAATTTCACTTATCTTCTCTTTAATTTTTCTGTATTGTTCTCCAAGTACGAGGCAGTAATCTGGACAATGCTGATCTGCCTGTTCAAATGCAATGACATGCAATACACAAACATATCATGTATATTAGAATCACATAGGAATCACAACTTCTGATGAATAAAGAAAGCAAAACAAAATACCGAAAATATATTTTAAGAGATTTTCTTTAATACGATATATGGTAACAGATACAACAAAATAAATCCGAAAATACTTACACTTTGTTTTTCTGTATTATCCCCATCCTCAGATGGCAGTACCCAAGATTCAGCTGAGGATTGTATATTTCTGTAGAACTCCAAACCGTAGCGTCTGCAGACGTGCTTTAGCAAATACATTCTAAATTGATAAACACTTTCCCATTAGAAACCGAACGGTATCTTTGAAGCAAATATCATCTTTAAAAAAATTGAACATATTTTGATGATTCAAACTGCCTTTTCTTCAATTTGCACATAGATTCTAGGATATTTTACACATTTATATCAGGATGAAACTATTCTAACAAATGTCTGATATCTTTATACGAATTGACCTGATATGCTCCAAAGGTGAGTCGCACAAACTGGCAGAAGTTTGGAATAAGTCAGTACACATAGCCAGTTCAGATTCTGTAAACTCCCATGTTGTATTTAACCGACTGTACAAATATTTTGCTGTCACTTGAAGACCAAAACGAGCTCTTGCAATTGATTTAATTTTGTCAACCGTCGTTCCTTCTGCTTGCAACTGTTCCTTTGCTAACAACATTGATTCCTTAGCGAAACAAATTTCTTTCTCCATTTCAGATTGGAAACTGTGAGATAGTGATTCTTCCATCAACGAGTCCTTCAATAGATAAAATATAGAATCTTTACAGGAAAAAAATGTCGTCAACAAGCTTTAAGCAATTAGTATTTATCTCCTTTAGTACATTATAATGATACATTGATGACTGGTTATTTAAGGGTTCTCTTTTGTATTTTCACAGCTTAACGTTTTAAGCTCTCCCTCTCTCTCTCTCTCTCGTCTTAGAAAACAATGCTCAGCCAGAGAGTTTTATTGTTTAGATTAAAACACAAGAAAACTTTAAAGTTTTTTAAATGATCTGCAGATTTTACAATCAATATTTCATGTACTTTTTTAATATATGCATGTTAAACACGAGTTCTCCAACATGCAATAATAGTGATTAAAAAATGAAAAGAAAATGGAAAAAAGCATTCACATTCAAAACTACTTTTTTCGTTGAAACGTGAATTTTTTTTGCATAACATCATGATAAAGATGTAATATTCCATGCAAAAAGATGAAATTATAACATTTATCAATATATGATTTTGGCAACACGTTTTTCACTTTTTGTTGTTGATAAAAGAATAACATATTCCCACATCTATTTCGCTCGTAAAAAGCCTCTACACAGCCCATTCCCTCCGTTTGAGAAAGGTGTAAAGCAAATCCAAACCCATTCCATGCAGGATAATAACATTGGGTTGAGAGAAAGGACCAATATGCAGCCCTTGTGCACCATATTTACTTAAAAACAAATTGCTCATGTAAGTACGTTATCAAGACCTGAGAACTTTTAAGGTCTTGCCACTTTTTCGGACATGAAATGTACGCATTCCAAAAATAACAGCAGAAATACAAAGGAAGACAGGTAATTCTTTGATTCGCGAATATGACAATACCTCAATACATTGTATCAGCATTAAGCATATGTCTTTCATGTGTGACCCATGAATGTCTTCATCCAAGATCTCAACAGTTTCTTTCATGAAAAGTTGCAAAACAGTATTTTCACTGAAAAATGAATATAAAAAGCTAAATTTTTAATGCTTCTAAAAAGCCCAAAACATACAGAAATAAAAGAAAATGGAATGGTGTAATTACACTGAATTTGTTTTGTCTTGTTAACTGAAGATGTATATAGGTATTTTGAAAAGGTTTTATATAATACTCCTGGATCTGTTATCAATCTTCTATAAAGTTGGTTACTAAATCATAATATATTTGTAAAACTCACTTGCTTCTTATCAGTAATTGCAACAGAAAAGATCTGAAAACCGGAGTTGTGTCCACTATGGTCTCAAATACGCCTATATCTCTGGTCCTGATAATGGTCATGTTAAGCTCAGGGAGTTTCTTTTTAAAAACGACAAGCTGCAGAAGCCTTTTGCAAACTTCTTCACTTGGGGCTGAAGAGTTTTCGAAGCATAGTTGGGATACAATTTGCATATAAAACCTATTACTCTTTTTCTGGTAGTCCCAAAATGGCTTCATCTCTTCACTAGCAAGAAAAGGTAAATTAAATGTTAATTTCGGATTTTTGCGACATCGCAATTGTATATTGAAAGTTATATATTATGTGCGCGCCATGGAATACAGGTTATAAATGAGATATCTCGATAGACCTATTGTCTTACCTTTCTTCATCATTCATGTCATATTCTGCATCATTTTCAATTTCCATCAAACACTCTGGACACTTTTTCACATCTTCTTCAGTAATTATCATATACTGACAATTTTCTCTGCATATTTTGTGACCACATGGAAGGATAACTGGAGGTGATAAATTTAAGGGTATTTTGCAATGATGACATTTACCAAATTTGCTGAAATAGTATGAAATAGTAATATCAGTTGATTCGATACGCAAGAGCATGCTCTATTTACGAAAAATTTCTAAAACGAAGTAATTATAATTTATTGACAAACAGGTTGATGAAACAAGAATATCAACAGTCTCATTTACAGTAGTCATCATTTCGTAAGTTCTATTGTCGATGACCTTGTTAGCAAATACAATCTATCATTAAGTCAAATGCTGACTGACGTTTTTCAAACTAATTGTTAGACCACTATTTACGCACCGCATTGTTGAGGGATTTTTCCGTTATTTCTCGATCTTGACAAGGACCGGTCGGAAGGGGATGCTCACTCCTCCATGGCACATGATCCCACCTCTGATGTTTTAGAGGTCCGTGTTCTCTCTGCTCCTGATTTGTTTTGTTTGAATGGATTTTGAGCTTAATACTGTTCGTTATCTCCATATATTTCATAGAGTAATTTGAAATCAAAATTTCAGTTTGCTTTGGTTAATTGGCATCAAATCAAGTAGGAAAATATATCGATTTTTGCAATTATTATCCCCAAATGTTGAATATGATATTTTCGTGGAACAAGACAGGTAAGTATTTATTGAAAAAATATCTTACTCCAAAAAGTCCTTCATAGCTTTTTTGTTGGAAGCCTTCAGAAATTTTTCAAATTTTTCTAATGTTTCAATTGTTTTGAAGTTTGCATTTTCTCCAAGAAACTGAAAAATAGTTGAAAAGGAAACATCAATGACACAAATAAGTCTTTCCCAACACGTTGCTAGATATTCTTACTCATCTGATAATAATACTGTGCGAAAAGTTAAAGTTTTAAAATGATTGCTCCCCAATGTAAAGCCAATAAATATGGAGTAATAGCATTTAATCAATCTTTGAGACATAAAAATACTACCTTCCAAAGAAATTTACAGTCTTGGTTGATCAATTTATCTTTTCTCTCGTCTCCTGCTATATTTTCTATGTATAATTTCAATGCTGTGATTTTTGTCCATGTTGACCTTTTTGAAAGCAAAATTTCAGGATGATAATATTATATGAATTTTTGAAGAAATGGGATAAAATAACATAATATTACATTATTAACTATCAAAACAAAGTAAATAGTAAAATTTAACAAATGAAACATTGAAATTTTAATAGGTCAAATTATACCTCATTTGTTCAATAAATCGACGTCTAGGATTGCCTGTTTGTAGGTTTTCAGTTGTTTGATGTAAAATTCTTTCAATAAAAGGTTTGTAGATCTGAAACTGCTGCATCCAAATTATCTGCCCTTCATGTGTTTCTATTGCATCTATGGGATTAAGTTTTTCCAAAAGGTATTTCACAGATCCTATGTCAAGCATCTAAGAGAATTTAAACAAGAGGCTCATGAGCCACATCGCTCACCTGAGCACACTGGCTAAGAAGACGCTGAAATCAGTTCAGTATTGAAAAGTTTTGAGCGGGGTGGGGAGGCAAACTTTATTTACACTTCCTCAGGATGCTTGTACATCAATATCACTAATCATGGCTTTGCTGTTTTTAAACAGAAGAATTTTAAAGATTTTTTCCCGATGTATTCCTATGTAAAACTCTGATTGTTCATTGTGGTCCCAACGTAAATTTGAACAAATCTGAAACTATCTGAGGATGCTTCTATAATAATATGACAAATCATGGCTTTGCTTTTCTTGAGCAAAAGATTTTTTCAAGATAATTCCAATTTATCCATTAACCATTACATCTATATATTCCTATGTAAACCTTGACCCACTGTTGTGGCCCGATCCTACCTCCAGGGGTCATGATTTGAAAAAAAAAACTTGAATGTACACTTCATGAGGATACTTCTGTATTAAAATGTTTTATACTGGCTTACCTGTTCTTGAGAAAAAGATTTTAAAGACACTTCTTATATATTCTTAAGTAAAACTTCGACCCTCTCTTGTGGCCCACCCTACCCCCGGGGGTTATGATATGAACAAATTTGAATCTTAGAGTATGTAATGAAGCTTTCACATAAGTTTAATCTTTTCTTGCCCTGTGGTTCTTGAGAAGATTTTTAAAAGATGACACCAAATTTTCACGAATTCTGAATTTCCCCCTTGAAAGAAAGCTAGGCACTTCCTGTGAACAAACTTGAATCATCTTCACCTAAGCATGCTTTGTATCAAGTTTGGTTGAAATTGACCCAGTGGTTCTTGAGAAGAAGTCGAAAATGTGAAAAATTTACAGACAACAGACGACGGACAACAGACAGACGCCAGACACTCTTTGATCAACAAGGTGCAGTTGGGAAAAAGTTTAGTATAATTGTATTAGTTTTGTGAACCTGATAACTGTTATTGACATTTTCAAAGAATTTTTCATCCTGTAGATGTTCGTTTAGAGATGCAATGTCACAAAAGGTCTTCACAGAATATTCCATTCCTCTAAAAACGCTATGTATGCACACTAGACAGTCTGACAATAATTCTGGAATTCCCTTTGATCTCTGTTCCATGTTAGCAATTAGGGACTCACAAATCAGCTGAAAGGATATATGAGAAATAAAATAAACTTGTATACTTTATGCTAACTGAACTCGATGTCTTTCCCATTCTTTTACAGTATATATGATTTAAAAATAAACATTAATATACTAGTATTTATTTTTTAACTCGAAAAAAAAAACTTTTGTTCAAGATTATCCTTTAACTGATATTTTACTTAAAAATACCACTACATGTATAAATTTTCAGAATCTTGTTTTTATTTAGAGTTTTCAAAGTGCATATATGAATCCTGCTTCAATACAAATTGAAATAATAATTAAAAATCTCATCAAATTCCTGAATGATGTTTAAACAGTTTATATCATTTTCCGAAGTCACCACAGTGACTGCAAATCTTGATCATGTCCTTTGTCGACTTAAATTTTCAATGAGGTAATTAAAGCACGTCAATTTTGGACAGAAAACTGCCATATAAAACTCAACAGAGAAAAATCAGACTTTAAACACATTCAGGAACACAAAAAAGGTAAATGCAACTTTGATTAAAGTCACTGCAACTTAATCAAATTAGCTGAAAAAAAATAAGCTGACCTGCTTCTCTCTGTTTGAAAAAGTTTTGCACTTCATATTGACAAAATCGGATATGTATAATTGCATTGCGTGAAGCGTATCTTTTCCCCTAATAACTTCATTGATGATCAAAGCCATAGGTGACTGAATGAATAATTCCTCAGGTGAATTCCCTGTAAAAGAAATCATTTACAATCTCCACCAGTGATCTTTGAATTGTGCGCACATGGCATAGCTCTTATAAATCATATTATAATTTACCAGCAAATCAGACCGATGTAAAATCAGATAATATATATTTTATCATTATACATTGGTAATCAAGCCAAAAACAGATAGCGTAAAGCTAAACTTCTTTCTGTATACCTATTTTACTCTCAGAGCAACTTTGCAGAATCTTCTCTACGTTTTCAAAGAGCAACCACGAAAATGGAAAAATTGACTTGAATCCAATGTTCTTTCCTGTGGACTGAGTAACAAGTTCCCTTTGTTTGTTTAGAATCTTTGCATCAACTGCAAACAGCAATCTCATCCAAACTATGTACATCCAGCTACACTCACAGGCATTGTCTAAAATTTGCAGGTTGTTGTTCGTGTCCATAAAACAGATAATCTTGGCTAAAAGCGGTACTACTTTTCCCTCTATGCTTTTGCTGCAACTTGACCTGTGGCAAAAATTAAATAACCCATTTATTAAGTAAAAAATTCAAAATTGCTACAAATATCCATCGTGTCAAATCTTAACTATGACAAAACTATTGTTTAAAAATCTTTTTAATAAATTTTTCTTTTTATTCTAGAAATATATATATATATATATATATATATATATATTACCGATTATAAATAATATGTTAGTATTTGTTATTTGAGATTTCTTTAACTTCAGATTGATGAAAAGGAAGTTTCTGCATACATATTTTAAAGATCGTTTAGGAATAGTACAAATTTTCGTAAAAATTGTGCAATTTACTTTAAAATCGAATTAATTTTCAAACTTATTCAATTTGCCAAATTAATCATGTATAAACCGCTGCTGCATTCTATAAGCATAAGATCATTCCTGTAAATTGCATTAATTGATTCGGATTGGTATGTGATCAAATCTACCTTAAAGCCCTCCAGGTTTTATGGGATTTGATCTCAGGAACTATACATATTTACATCCCGATAAAAGTTTAAAAATGATTATTTATTTCTTAAATGGTGCATAAATTCTGCGACTTATTTAACACTTCTTTTGTTTAAAATATCAAGCATGCAGATTATACCTTAAAGTACCACATTTGGTTATGTTTCCTATGGTTGCAGCTCTTTGAATTAAGGTAGAATGATCATACATAGACACGTCTTCCTCCTCAAAAGATAATATTTTCACTAGATGCTGCATAATGCCATATCCAAATTGTCCTTAAAAGAATAAAATAATAAAAGATTAAGAAATAAGCTTGTCTCAGATATGTTTACTTTTCAAAATATGGTACATATTTTCCTACCCTGTGTTAAATCCTGTTCTTTTTCCAGTAAGGCAAATACGGTTTTTACTCTGTCAATAGATGTTTCACCAGATTCTGACATGTCCGAGATGGATGCTAATGCCGGATGAAGACAGTCGAGAAAAAGTTTCCGCATGTCTACTTTATACTCCTGTTTTTGAAATTGTATTGTTTAACATTTGGTATTTTAGTAAATTTACTTTAATTTTTGTTATCTTATTTCTGACAAAAATAATCACAAAGAATGAATAAATCTAAATTTAGACTTAAGTTTTCCCTCTTTCTCGTGTCATTTTAAATATCGCACCTTTTTTCCACCATCTGAATGTATTTTAAGACTTTCATTTAATAATTCTGAAAGAGTCATTCCTAATAGCTTTTGTGCACTCGGCAATGTTGATAAACGCAGGTCATCGATGTGGACAGAACTCCATAATCCAGTCTAAAAAGATTAAATCAAAACATTTCATTTTTTTTCACAAAAGAAAAAAAAATTCCTATGCCAGCAAATGTAATTTGGTATAAAATTAAGTCTGAACGTGTAGAGATGTTATGAATTCAGTGTAAAGAAGCAAACATCCAAAGCATGCTTGTGGCTAAAAGATATAAAGAAGATAGAAAACAATTATGTCATACAAAATGCTAACCTGAAAACCTGTAAAATACACTTTACACACTCGAGAAAGATGGACAAGGAATATAATGCAAGTTTCTCGAGAGCTGTTCATTTCCCTTTGAACACAATGTCGTGCACATGACACCAGATTAGAATTCTCATCACCCGTGTCACATTGAATAATGAGGAGTTCAAATTGTTCATGAGCAATCTCTCTGTCAAGCAATAATTATAAAATTAATGTTTTGTCTAAATCAACGAAAAATAATAATCATATTTCAGCACATTAATATAAAAAGTACCTGATTTGTCGAGAAAATTGTTGTTCTGTTCCAAAAGCTTGCAAAGACAGCAAAGCTATTTTCCCTTTTAACATTGGAATATTGTTTTCTATGTCCTGTTTGTCCTCCATTGAGAGCAACTTGGAATGAGTAGTGACCTAGTGGAAAAGTAGAATAATTTCAGATATAACCTATAGATACAAAATTATAGTAAAATATGAGTGTTGTCCATAAAGTTTGTAGACAAATGCTATAATTTTCTTTATAATGACCACACTACCTAACATTTACAACAGTATTTTAATATAGACCATGCTTTAGTAAATATATAGAAATTAAAACAATGCACACTATTTAACGAAAGTTTTAAATGTAAATACTTTGTATATGCAAGCAGTATAGCTAAGAGAAATGTATGGAGATAACAAACAGTATTCAAGCTCTAAAGTCCATTAAACAATACAAATTTTTGAGCATAGCAAACACGGACCCCTAAAACATCAGTGGTCGGATTAGTTGCCATGGAGGAGTGAGCAACCCCTGCCGACCGGTCACACCCGACATGTGCTCCTTGTCATGATCGGGAAATCAGTGTGTAAATAATGGCCTAACAATTAGTATGAAAAAAGTCATTTGATTTAATAATAGATTGTATTTGCTGACAAGTTCATTGTATCGACCATAGAACTTACGAAATGGCGACTTAAAACGAGACTGCTGATATTCTTGTTTCATCAACTTGTTTGTCAATAACTCCGTAGCAGGTGATTAAATGTTCGTAAACACTCGTTTTTTTTTCTTTATTTGCAATTGCAAACTGTATGCGATAATACATGTATTTAAATATTCAATTATAGACCTGAATTTAGTACATTTCAAGTGTTATCGTACAGTATCGTTTCAGCCATATTAAAATACATTGATTGGACGCTGTTCCATTCATTTTTTTTTTACGTCGTTTTTTGCGTAATTTTTTAAACATGTTGCTCTCGTGTTTTTTTTTCTGAAATTTTTCACTAATTCTTACATAAGCGATACTTATCATATCTATCAGACAATGATGACGGTTGGGCTTTTTTGCGATATATAAAATTATTATGAGAAAATAATAATTTTAATCTCAAAGCTTCATTTAAAGTTTATCACATTTTACTGTGGACCGTGCACACTATCTGCGAAAGATTAAATCGTGATTTTTTTTTATGTTAAGTTAAAATAATCAAAATCAAACTATTTTCGGCATACAATATCTGAGACCATTCAGTTTGACAAAAAACGTTGTTGTCCACGAACTTTATATTGATGTTATGTTCATGTTGATGTTACAGGGATTTCAACAATCTCGTTTAAAGTCAGCATTTTGTAAATTCTATGGTGGTTACAATGACTTTATTATCAAATATAACCTATCACTGGGTCGATTGTGTTTGTAATAAATTTGACTACGAAACGTTCCGTTTACTTGATCAATACATAGGGCTCACGGCGAGTGTTACCAGTCAGCAGGGGATGTTTACTCTTCCTGGGCACCTGATCCCACCTTTTGAATTTTAGAGGGGTTTGTGTTTTATCTATTCCAAACTTCAGCTACTTGGAACATAATCTATGCAACAAGTCTTATAGATAAATGGATTTTCTGCTGTTTCTGTATGGAATTATTTATTAATGTCCCTGAGGAGTTGATGTTGTACGGTTCGAAGTTGTTCAAACAACAGATCTAAAACCTTGTTGTGATTAAGAGCAGAACATTAGGAAATCAGAAACATTCTCTCAGTTCAGAACGTTTTTCAGGCGAAGAAACGGGTGATACAAGATAATAAATCTTCAAAATATTGTACCTATTATAATGTATACTATAATAACAATTTTTCTCGTGCGTAATGATTCTATCATTCTTTTGCTATAGAATATTTTATTTCTAATCTCAAGTTTTTATGTTCACCAGATATCTCCTTTTTTTAAAGTCCACCCATACTTTCCCTGTATTTAATTTGGTGTTAACATGTCTTATTTTGTTTTTCGACAGAGGGCAACCACAAAATGAGCAATGAAATAGAATTGATTGAGACTCTTCCATTCATTCATGAACTTTGTATACTTAGATGCTAAACGTATAAAAATATCACCTGGATGAAATGGCCTTTGAATGTTTCTTCATCAATACAATGATGTAAAAAAGAACACAGACTATCATGGCATTGTTGATCAAAGTAAACGTGAATATATTCCTCTCTAAACATGCTCAGACTACTGAGTTGAAGACGGAAAAGGGCGTCTGGCGTACAACTCCAGAGCAAAAAATATTTTGCTGTTTGGAGCACCTCCTATAAATTCAATATTCGTAAAATCTGATAAATATGGTGAATATATTAATTATTTTCAATATATTTGTATAAAAATAAGAAGAAAAGTTTAAGCTTTAAGTTATTTATTCTTCTCGTGGTCAAAACTACTATAAATTCTCTGTCTTCCTACAACAAGTATTAAGAAAACCAGTACCTCCATAAAATCGTCGTCTTCATTGGCATGTTTTTTTGCGCAAAGATCCCATGATTGAAGAATGATTCCAGGGCATGTGTCTTGATTGTAACCGATGAATACTTCCTCTGGACTGCAGGATTTAACATGTCAAAAAACATTGAATACACATTGTAAATCATTATTTGTTTCATTATAGGTTGTTGGAAAACTTTTTTAAAAGGAGGGAACGTTTAAACCAAACAAATTTCAAAATTGACATTATATTATCTATTTTTTAGAGTTTCAAAATGATATAAATGATACAAAATGATCAAAATGATATAAATGATACAAATGATATATATTTTCCCTTTAACAAACAATATTTGTTTCAATATTTATTTTCATGTTGTTAATTTGATGTTAGATTAAGATGAAGATGTATACTTAGGATCATCATGATCATATGAAGTATTGTTTTACTTTACCCAAAGCTTTTTGGTAAATAATCTGTACTTTAAATCATCAGAGTGTTAGTTTGAAATTATTTGTAATTGCACAAACATTGTTGCAAAGCTGAAGGAAAGCTATTGTCAGTTCTGAAGAGGATTAATTATTTACCCAATACTTTGTCTGGAACATGCAGAAAATTCTTCCACCCAGAGAGAAAGTTCTTTTGAAAGTCGCAATTGAGCATTTGTTAAAAGTCCTTCCATGGTGAGAAAGTGTTTTTCCAAACGATTTATCAGTGGTATGGGGAATTCCTTATACACAACTCTTTTCTCTGCCACAACTATAAGTCTACAGAATATAGTTTGATGATATGGGTATACATGACTTATCTGCATACTTAAACTTCAAAGAACTTTATATTTGAGGTCAATTCAGCTTATTTAAATCATTATCAAGCACCATTTTGCATCGACAAAATAATCATTATCTTGTACCTAAAGTTCCTATCCACCTTACACTTGACTCTGTGAGTTCCAAGTCCTAAGTCAATAAACCTTTCGGAGCCACTTTCCATGTAATACTAGAGAGAATAAATATAAATGGAGAGTTCTAATTATTGAAACAATAAATAAGTGTTGCAATGTAAAATCAAGTGAGTTACAGCCTGTTTTGTAGAAGAAAAGGGTGCATTTTAAATAAGGGTACCTGATTTAATGCATCATACAAGCTTTCATAAAGATTTTCCAAATTCAACAGAACCACTGTCTTCCCGGTCTCCATGAAGACTTTGATTCTATTTATATTCCGACAAATCTACAAACAAACGAATTTTCAAGACTTTCCATACAACTCTTTACATTTTCAACACTGAAATATTTCACCAAAAAATAATATACCTCGATGTACTCCTGGTCCTTTGGAAAGCTAGAGCCAAACAATATTTGTGTATTTTCATCGTTTGTAAGTAACTGCTGAAGCAAGGTAAGGGCACTGTAATTTTCCGTCAGCAGCAGAACATAACGTGACTCACTAAAATAATTAAAATTGTCTTAATCTTAATCTGTAAGAAGTCTTTCACGTGTGGAAAATTGAAGGAATTGAAGGAAATTTGCAAAACCAAAGAAATTTGGAAAATAGTTGTAATCTGCCACATTTTACTGCTTTTCATATGTACTACACAGAGGTCATTCATTCTTTTGTAGTTGTTGGATATGGAATTTATTTCACGAGTGTGTTAATTGTTTTTTAAAAATAAATAAAAAAAAAAATAATAAAAAAAATCTTCTCAAGCATGAAATAAATTCCAAATCCATTACAAAATATTTTTTCGGATTTTTGTTTGTTATATTTTCCCTCTTTACCTTTGTCTTTTTGTAATACAGTGTCGTAGACCCTAACGTCATAATTGAACGGTTGAATCGTTATACGTTAGCGATTGCAAGATTGAAAACATTTCAAACACAGATTACACAACAACGTATTTGATTTGAAGAAACTTTGGCAGTTTAAGTCCTTAAATAAATTACAGTCTTTTGTTGCTAAAAATGTAATAAATATCAAAACTGGTTTAAACTAAGCGCTATTTTATGTTCTCCATCACAGAATATAATTTCAATTTGATTATTGCCCAATATGTCCATAAAAATTTGTAATGTTTTTCGTTTAAACACTTGTACTTGCATTTGTTAGTTTAATGAATTAATATAATTTACATAATTTTATTGGACACACATGATGAAAAAATTACCAATTATTTGGGTTTTGTTTGTTTGTTATTAGTCCCCTACCGGTGAAACCGGAGGGGACTATAGGTTTCCTCAGAGTCTGTCCGTCCGTCTGTCCGTCTGTCTATCTGTCTGTCCCACTTGGTTTTCCGCACTTTTTTTCTGAACGCTTGCAGATATTGAGCTGATTTTTGGTATATGAGTGTATCTTGATGAGTTACAGATTAAGTGTGCATTTCGTTCCGCTTCAATGATTTTTGACGGAATTACGACCTTTTCAATTTTTCAAGGTTTTCCGCATTTTTTTCGAAATGCTTACAGATATTGAACTGATTTTTGGTATGTGACTCAACCTTGATGAGTTACAGATCAAGTTTGCATTTCGTTCCACTTCATTGATTTTTGACAGAATTATGGCATTTTCAATTTTTAACGGGAACCAGATTACACTTGCCGGTAGGGGACTAGTATTGCTAATGCAATACTCTCAGAATGCTTGTTTAACATCCCTCTCGAGAATTTTTCACTCATATTGAGACGCCATCACTTTCCGGTGGAGGGCTGCAAATTTATACCTAAACTCAGCACTCTGGGCCGGTGAGCAGTGAAGGATCTTTTTCATGCCAACACCTACTGCGACACGGGACCTCGGTTTATACGGTCTCATCCGAAGGACCGGTCTCCACGTCCCTCAGTGGATCCGAACCCGCGACGAAGGGTCAGCTCCTTACTCCGGAGCAGACACTCTAACCACTGCGCCACGCGGGCGACCATTAGTAATTAAATAAAATCTTTGTGTATAGCGTTGCATTTACACACAAATTTCTAAAGAATAAAATAAAGAATGAAAAACAAATGCCTCTTAAAATTACATTGCTCTCGGGATGATATTTAGTGTCCAGTTTGTAGGGAATGAAGGTGTGTAGTACATTTTACTTACCTGTCCTCATTTCCGTGTTTTAGACATTTTCGTACCAAAGCTACATCAGCTGCAAAACCATCATCTTCATTCTATAATAAACATAAATCATGTCCCTTTCAAATTTAAAACAAATATAACTAAATGGATAGTACATGTAATACATAAATCTTTTTTTTGAAACCTTGATGATATGAATTAGCTATTTACCTGAAATTCTTGCAGCTCATCAACACATTCTGAAAACTCCGCAACTGGATCGAGGCCTTGTAGCCCTCCAAAATTTCTTCTTATAACATAGGCAATGTCCTTTGGTGTTGGAATTTCCATCGACCGGGAAGCGATGGCAAACATCATTTTTACTAAGCTTTAATACATATTGTAATAGGTTTGTAAATTTAAGAATGGCATTCTTAATTATAGATTACAATAGAGGCCCAAAGGCCACTAGTGTCACCATCTTCTTATCAACAAATGTAAGACGTACTGATTTATATTAGGAATGACTCTAATTCTTGGCCAAATTATTCGAGGATAACCTGGTTTGGGTCAGTTTACGCTTTATAATCCGCGAAGCGGATTATAAAACAGCGTAAACTGACCCAAACCAGGTTATCCTCGAATAATTTGGCCAAGAATTAGAGTCATTCCTTATAATTTAATTCTAAAATCATTAAACAACTGTGGGTGTAAAATTTCGTTGCTTTTTATTAGTTCAAATTTGCCGCTCAATAATACAACCCTAGTAACGGAAGTGATGGGAAGCGAGGGGAGGTAAAAACTGATACATAGTCCTAGCAGCCATGTTTTTTGTTTACATGTGGTAAGATCCGAGTTACTGTTTGAAGTTAAAGGTACATTTATTAAATCTGGAATTTTCCATGAATCCCGAGGACTGGAAATGAGAGGATTGCATGGATACAGACGATTCAGCTGGTTGTCAGGGGGGTGTGTCCCCATACCAAACCAGGTTATACAGAAATAATTTGTGTTCCTTTTTGGATATTAACCAATCAGAGGCTAGAATACAAACAAAATTAAATTATAAATGAATAACCTTTGTCTCATATGAACTAACAAGAGGTCCATTCTCCACAGCGTTCACCTGAGTAACTATGACCCCTGTTGTGGTCCCATCCTACCCATATCCACAAGGGGTCATGATTTGAACACTTTGAATGTACACTTCCTGAGGTTGCTTCCATATAAGTATGACTAATCAAGCCTTTGGTATTCCTGGGATAAAGACATTGCCTATATATTCCTATGTTAAACTTTGATCCCCCATTTTAGCCCACCGTACCTCAAGGAGCCATGATTTGTACAATCTTGATTCTACACTACCTGATTATAAATATTACTGTCCATGTCTCTGCTGTTCTTGAGAAGACCTTTTAATTCAAGATTTTTTCCTATATATTCCGTTGATCACCTGTTGTGGCCCCATCATACCACCAGGGGTCATGTTTTGAAGAATCTTGAATCCTGAATCTACAGTATGTTATGAAGCTTTTTTCATAATTTTTGGCCCGATGGTTCTTGACAAGAGGAGTTTTGAAAAATGCCACCAAATTTTCAGGAATTTTTATCTTCCCTTGAAGGAAGGTTTGCGCTTCCTGTGAGCAAACTCCCTACATCCAAGTATGCTTTGTTGTCATCGTCGGAACCCACGGGTTTTCTCTCCGTTACACTACATTCAACGTTAAATGTAGTGTAACGGAGAGAAAACCCGTGGGTTTCGACGATAGCTTTGTGGCAAGTTTGGCTGAAATTGACCCAGTGCCTTCTTGAAAAGAAGTAAGAAATGTTAAAAGTTTACAGGCGACAGACGGAGGCAGGATACTCTTTGTCTTTGGCTGCTTTCAGCTAAAAATGATAGAATATATATTTCACTCTCTGGAAAGCAACATATCCGAAATATATTCGATGATTTTTGTGCAGATTTTACCTGTAAAAGTCGCGTAATCCAAAAAATTCCCTTGCTTTTAAATGGTCTCTGGAAGTTGTACCAAATAATTCACCGGTAGTTATTGTTTTCTGGAAAACTTGGAGATAACCCTTTGCCAATTTAGGAATGATACCCTCCAATAATTCCCGTACTTCCTCGTTTGTAGAGCAAATTCCTCTAAATAAAAAAAAATGAGCATAATTTTAATATACAGTCCAATCTGCTTATCATGAAGGAAGAAAATTAATCAACAAAACATATATTAATGCATATTTCATTTACCTTGCACTTGCAATTAGTTCCTCTTCATCTGGAACTTCCCTTTGTACTAAAATCCCTCTGTTCATTTTGGCTGGATCAAGGGCCCAATTGGATATCCCAATGAATGCAACCTACAACGGTCGAATTATTTATTTTTTATGCAAGTAAGGGTTTATCTTTATTTGAAATTATTCACTGAATCAAAATGTCATAAATTTTTCCTACTGCAATACCTAGATACCATTACAGTGATTTTATGAGCAATTTTCAGTTTAATGATTGGCTTTTAATAAAACGAATTTGAAAATTATAAGCTGTAAATGCTACCACTTTCATACTTCGTTTCGTATAATATTCGCTGTATTACATTGTATTAGATTAAGTTCACATTTATTCTGCTAATATATTTTACTTTTTTGTGTTCTTGATACTCCTCATCGTCTGGACATCCATCCTCCAACAGCGGATGAAGTGCCTATCAAAATGGTAAAGACTCTAAATGTGTATGGGATGCAAAGTATTAGATCAGCACAACAAATATTTCAAATTAATTGAAGAAATTTTACCACCCTTCGCTTCGATATATTTCAATGGTTAAATAAACCTTGTATTTTATTGTTTTTTTCTTGCTATTTTGTGAACCTTAAAACTTAAAAATTTTAAACCTAAAATCATATAGGAAAAAAGGCAGTGTAAATTTTACGAGGAGCAACCCCCAGCATTAGATCACGTCGATCCCGATATGAATTACCATTTCTGCTAGGAACAGACCGAATAACCCACGGGCTGACCCAAACGCGTTACTAAATCTACTATATCCTCTTCTCCAACTTCAAAGTTGCGAGGTGGATAATAAATGTTTGTAAACGACGTCGTCAACCGACATAGCAATTAATGGAGAAAACCAATACGTGAGCTTCTGGAGAAATTTCATTTGTGTATGAATACAATAGAAACAAATCTTGCACTGTAAATGCCGATAGAATGATTCTTCCCTTTCTGTACTCATACTAATGATAAGTGGATATATTTCAAGTTGTAATAAAGGGAGATCATTACATTAGGCGCTTTATGTTTGTTTGTTGTTTAACGTCCTTCTCGATAATTTTTCACTTATATGGAGACGCCACCATTTGCTGGTGGAGAGCTGCAAATTTTGACCGGTGCTTTTTGTAGTTTTGTGTTGAGAAGAAGGCAGGGTTTCAATACAAATCTTGCTTTGTATTTAATAAACATAAAATTGTTGTGAGAAATTAAATTCATTTTCTCTGAATTGTTCAAATTCTATGCAATAAAATTTAACAAATAGGTTTTCAAATATGACCCCCTTAAAACGTTGTGACCTTAAAAACGAAGCCCTGTGTAACGGTAAGTGTTGGCACGATAAAGAACCCTCATTGCTCAGTTTACCTGAGTGCCGAGTAAAGGTCTAAATTTGAAGTCTATGAGTAAAAAATTCTCGAACGGTACATAAAACAACATACAATCAATCAGTTAATCAATTTTCCATTTTAGTAAAGCGTACTTTGAGAGGCATTCTCGGAGAATCTTCTGCTAAACCCACTTCATCTAGAACGACAACAGAGGCAAATCTGCGTAGGTCTTTGTTCTCCTGCAGCTTACTAGCTTGTTGAAATGTCTTTAGGATGCCTTCAGCAGTTGCCAAAGGGCTACATTGGAAGGAGATGATTTGAACCTTGGAACAGTATTTGTTTTAAATATTAATACATTCTGTTAAACATGTGCAAAGTAATGCATGGATTTTTAAAATATGACACTGTAAGTGAAAATGTATGGTATACATATAAATACAAAAGTAGCAAATGTTCACCTGTTTGAAATTTTTGAATAGATCCGAATGGGATTCTCTTCCTTGCATGTTTTGATCTAGTATAGACTTTGAGAGAGACTTTGAGCTTCCTGGCTTTCCAACAAGAAATAAAGGTATGCCAAGTTCAACGCACACAACCATCATGAAAAAATTCTCTCGGAGTGCCATATTTTTAGCAATGTTTTCATTCAAGTTCACTTTCTCGAGGAATATTCTTTGACATCTACAAGAAAAGAACAATTAATAATTTGTTCATCAAAAAATTAGATAATTAATTCAAACTATTGATATAAATCATACCTACTTTTTTATTTCTCTTTCTATCTGTCTTCCACCCCTTTGAAGATTCAATGGATGTCTAAAATATCCAGCAATGTAATTTCTGTACTCTTCCCGATTCTTCAAAGATGCGTGATAGCACACTCCAAGGGCAAGTATTACTGATCTTATAATCCTGGCATCGTCTCTTGTCTTTGCATAAGAAAAAAATAAATTATATATTTTACTCCTGTTAAGAAATCAAACTGTTTCAAGAAAGAAATAAAACTCTACATTATTATCATACAATGATCGTTACATGGTTTATTTATGACTCATAAATGGAAAAAAATGTTCTAATTATACAGTTTGATCAGTACCTTCAAACCCCTGTTTACAAATGTAGGAAAAACCTCTTCATCTTCTGATGATTCTGTGTCCGAATCAGAAAAATTGTCAATGATTTGATCCATTTCTTCAAAAAGATTCGTTTGGTTATAAAACCAGCCAAATACTTTCAAAGTTCTTTCGACATCTCTAAGGCTCACAAAACTGCACTCATCCTATTTAAATAAAATCTAAAATTTAGACACTACTTTAGATATTATTGAACATAAATTAATATCTTTTATTTGTTCTGTGTTTCTAATTTTAAGTAGCATATTGTATACTCTTACGCTAAAAATCATGCTCGCATAGTGCGATTTTACGTTTCTTGCAAGATTATTTCATTCATAGCAAACATGCACATTGTGAAATACTGCTACAAAACTATAACGTTATCTGTCATGGGACAAAGGATGAAACATAATATATGTTGATTTTGAAAAATACGTGCGTCTTCTGTCTCATTTTTGGGGGCTCTATTTTTTGTTTTTGCCTTTTTTTTTTAATTGTAGTCTGTAAATGAACCAAAAACTAGCAATGCTACAGTTAACGGAGATGTGAAGGGGAGGGGGAACTTTCTACAAAAGAAAATTCGACCCATAAGGACATTTTAAATATTCCAATTGTCAAATAAAATGATATGGAAGAATGAAATGTAGATTGTCTACGGTATTGGAAATTCAGGAAAAGTACCTGTAAATCCCGCATGTAATCCTGAGATGCCGTTAAAATATCTGCAAGAATTATTTTGCTCCCTGCATTTGTTCTAGGAATCGTACCATTTTGCATCTAAAATTTTGGATTTAAGGCAAAAGGAAAAAAGAAAAGAATTAAATATCAAATAGTAAACCAAACAAGATAATTATCTATTTAATACAAATACAGCTCTTTTATGAGGTGGATCCACAGATATATATAAACTTCAATGAAAAGCATATCGACTGAGCACGAAGTTGATATATCGATGTATTGACCGACTAAAAGAGCTGAGTTTGCTATATTTTTTCTAAGTAACAAAACGAGACAAATTTATTATTAGATTTTGTAAGAAGTTTTAAAGACATTTTAATTTAATTATGAACAATACCAAGCAGAACAACCAGATTTATGATTTATGGAATAACAGAGAAAAAAAAATATTTTAATTCTTATAGTGCTTCTGTGTGTCCATATGAGTAGGAATTACAGCTTAATAGATCATTAAGATGCTAAAGTCAGGAATCAAAATTATTTCCGAAATATTACGTACATATCGGTTCAACATTTGTATAATGTAGAGTCTTTCTACAGTAGAGTCTAACTGTCCAAAGTCCCATACTAATGGGATCATGCTTTGAGGAAGAGGCTGGACTCTGTACACAAGGTGTCTCATTGGTATGCGACCTAATAAAATGAATTTCTAATATATCGATCTCTGCAACAACACAAGAGGAATAACAACATTTTTATGCTTAATTGAGAGTCTTAGAAATAGTAAAAGATTAAAAATATATCACAAAATACGAAAATGGAATATAAAATGTAGAATAGCAATAACATCCAAAACAATCTAAATTTCTTAATAGAAAGGACGCAGGATTTCATTATCTAGACTGTGGGAATTAAGATTTAGTCACTTTAGATTGGAACAATTGTAGATATGCAAGGGTATTGGTCAGCATTTTACTTATGATAGAAACTTGACATTTTCTTCAAGGAAAGCATACCGAGTCTATCAGTTGTTTCCTCTACGTTGACATGATAACCTAATCCCGCTTTTTCTAGCCTTGCAATCATCTCTTCTGGGTGTCTAAAAACCAAGTTAAAATCTCAAAACAAAATAAATTGTACAAGTATGAAGAACTTCTGTCCTTCTGCCTAACTTTGGCTACATTAAACAAGGCATCGCTTACTTTCTGTAAGGATTGCATGCAGCAACTAGTTTAAGATTCTCATTCAGATTAATTGGTCTTCCGTCAATCGTTCCATCACACATAATTTCTTTGATACTGCCAATGGCTTCGGTAGTGTTCGCTTCATCAAAGAACAAAACTGTAAATATGTGACTCCCATTGGACTTGCAGTTTTCTTTTGCTGTTTCTTCAGCTTTTTTCACTTTCTCAACTATGTGTTTCTTCGTTGTACCGCCATGTACCTTAAAGATTTCAAATTAAGTGATTAAAAAGAGTTGAATGGAACATTTAAAACATATTGATCTTCGCTAAACCTTATACATAATAAATACTCTTTGAACTATCATATTTAACATATTTGACTTGATGATTAAAATTCCGTCACAACACTTTAGAGAACATATTTTCTCTTCTGCTAATGTTGATAATTCTGCAATTATAAATCACGAAGTTTCCTTTGTAGTATTTCATCTATGGTAATGACAATTTGCTTGAGCTTCATTCTTGTCTCTTTCACCCGTTAGGAAATTGGTACTATTATAGAATAATTCCATTTAAGTTAAAATGTTTACCTTCATCACTGCCATGGTTTTAATCTCAGCGCCTGGGGGGCACTGTAGAGCGCAAAGGAACTTAATTAAGCGTGTTTTTCCACATCCTGTTTCACCCATAACAATGACTGGAATGTTACATCTAACAAAAATATTTTAACATTAACAGACATTTGATTTGTATTAAAAGAGCACTTATGAGAAAGTGCCGATTTCAAAACAAGAAATTCTAAACTGTGGCAAAAGGAATCTAAACTGCTTTTCAAGTGACTCTTCAAGAAAAACATCATTTGTTAATTCCATGAGCTTAAGAAATAAATAGAAACACTGTGTGCATTTTTCTTAAAAGTAAGGAAGACCTTGGTTTGTTTTTCCATGCAATATCTAAAATCGAACTAGGCTTTTATTAGATGGATATTCACCTGAATCGCATATATATTGCCATCATCTTTTTTACATTGTCTGTTGTCAGTTCATATGTTTCATCTGGATCGTGAGGAAACTCATTTCCGATAACCCTGCAGAGTCTTTCTAGCTTTTCATACCTTTTAAACAAATTTAGAATTGATCAATGAATTCAAAACCCTGCAATTCTTCAGATTTTTCAAAGAGTTTGTTTCCAACGAAAAATTTAAACCCCATACTGTGGTCTAACTGTGGGCCCAAGGGAGCCATGCCTTTACCTAACTTAAATCCACAATACATAGGAATTCTGAATACCAATCTAACCAACATGGCTTTGCTGTTTTAGAGAGGATTATATTTTTAAATTATATTTTAAAACGTTTTCCGTATACATGTATTACGTAAAATGTGATCTCCAATTTTAGTTCCACCCCAAATGTAAACTTCGGAAACTCTTGAATCAATTTGATGTGGAAATGTTTGTATACATGTAACAGTATGATTAAGCGTCACCCTGATGCAAAATCGTTTCATTTTTTTTTAATTTCCTGAGTATTTCATTGTAAAATTCTGAATACATATTTTAGCCCTTTATTAGCATACGGGGGCCATGAGTTGAATAATTATAAATATGCACGTAAGATTTATTTCCTACATATTCCATGGAATTATTTGATCATTATTCTGGCCCAACCTAACCCTTGGGCCATGGTTTTAGTTCATTAGAATCTTCGATGGCTGGGGATGTTTGCATAATACGATTGTGGTCCTGCTGTTCTTAATAGCCTAGAGATCTTTAGAGAAGTGTCCCTGCATATTCCCTTTTAAATGCTTGATAACCTATTGTGGCTTCACCCTATCCCACGGGGACCATGATTTGATCAAGTCTAATTTTACACTACCTGAGGATGTTTACATGTTAAGAGGGCTGGGTGGTTGTGGCCATTTTCAGACTATATTGACCTCCATTAGAAGAAGAGCTCCATATGAAGATATACAAAAATGATCAAATTTTAAAACTAAAATCTATGAAATTTTTTCTTTGCCAAATGATAGTTCACAGCTTAAGATATCATATCTAAAAAATTAAGTTAAATCTGATGGATAAATTTGTTGACTGCCCAGCCTTATTAATATGAGTAAATTAGCTCCGTTAATCTCGAAAAGAAAATTTTGAAATTGACCGATTCGTTCTAAAGAAGATGACAATGTGAAAATGTTTATATCAACAAAACAATGGACTTATTTTGATCAAATAACTCCACCAGAGGCTTTGGCTTATTTGCGCTAAAAAACAATAAATATGTCAAAATTGTTTGTCTACCTATTTAGGTCTTCAAAATTCTCTTGAAGTGGAACACGGTTACCGATCAGGGCATCCCAAAGATGCGGTGTCATTATGTTTCTTTCTAGAATTTGACCTGTCTGGTTATCGACTAGATTTCTGTTCATCTTGCTGATATTGAACCCAAGAAACGTCATAGTGTGATGATCAGGGTTGAAAAACAAATATGGATGAGCACTGCAAAGAACATATTATCTAAACTGTTCAAAACTTTCAAAAACCGGTCATATGGACTTAATTTTACGTCAAAATATGGCTGAAATACTGTTGACACGGCGTTTATCAATAATCAATCAATCAGTTATTCATAAAGTTCATTATTTTGATTAAACAAATAAAATTTACTGCCCAAATGTAATAATTTATATGATTATATGAAATAAAAAAAAATTCTTGTCTTGATTGTCAATGGAAGTGGCATATCTTTAGATTTGAGTTTTCTGATTTCTTAAAAAACAATGCTATAAAGGAAAAATCATACAATCCTAACCAGCAACAGAGGAAAACAGAGGAATAAACCTGATAACATAAGACCGTGTCTAGTGTCAAGTAAAAACTGAGTTTATTGAAAATTCCTTCTTCCTCAACATTTAGTCATTAGGTTGGTGAGTTACATCTACAATTAGAGCAGCTAAAAAAGAAAAGCAATATTAAATGTTCGTAAAAAATTACCTCGATTCCCAGCGACGTCTTATTTGAAACTGTGATAAGTCAATGATATCTTCCTCATCATTTGTTTCTTCGTTTTCGTTCTCGACTTCACCTTGGTAAATTTTCGGTTCAATTTTTTCGTCGTCATCAGTCATCATCAGTGATCTTGTTGAAAAATCCTGTTTAATAAAATAAAGACTGCATTTATATGTACCTCTGATATATCCCAGGACTTAAAATTCATTTTATTCAAGTGTTTAAGAAATCTTTCTTAGAGCGACCTCTTACCTTTGACATCTGAATTAAAAATCGCAAAACAAATTTTGCAAACCCTGGTAAATCAGCAGCCATTTCAGAGCCACAAAAAACCGACTTTTCAAAATCTCCTAACTGTGTATTCAAAAAGTGGACAAAATTTCTCAGCTCAGACCACGAAGGATCTTCCACACAGCAGTGTCTATTAAAACGGAATATGAACAAGTATTATCTAATATTAAAATATATCTACTCTTTTAAATACCAATTTTCTTAGGTAAAAGGATACTAATAATACCGTAAGAGAGTTTGTAAGCATTCACGCTTATTTCCGATTCGGGAAAAGCGGTTGAAAATTGGTATAATCTTTTTGTTTGACTCGAGGCTTTGAAGATATTGAAAAGGTCTTTGAAAGACCTCCGATTGAAACATCTGGTTATCGAATCCAAGCACCATGTCACCATTCTCCATTTCTAATAACAAAGAGAAAAAATGATACTTTATTCTTAACTTTATACAGTAAAATTCTCTAATCCGAATGTAATGTATTCCGAAATCTTGTCTATCAAGATAAAAACTTTTAGTCCATCTCAGTATGTTCAGTTGTTTAAAATGTTGCGTAATCTGAAATGCTGACTAATTTTCTATGGAACCAGTGGTGTTTAGATTAGACAAGTTTTACATCATATATAGTTCATTTACATTTCCTTTGCTTAATGAATATTTTATAACCTCTCATCGTGCCTTTCAATTCTTCTTGTGGGGAGAGGCATCGTACACAAGGCAGCAGGTCTATCAGTTGGATACCAGAAACTGATCGTCGTGACTAACAGATAAATAGAATTGATATTCAACATTTTTGATGTTCTGTCTCAAGAACGATTTTCATATAATTGTCTTATAATGATTAGAATTAAATAGAGGATAAAAAATAAATATTAAACAAAAGTTTTTTTTAAACGTACATAGTGACTTTTATCACTGACAGTTATTTCAATCAAGTACAAATCTGTCATTGATCGTTGAAACGCATATCCTCTGTCATCGACAACAGATCCCAAAATTATCAGATTGAATAGTAAAGATGCTACTCCTTCATCGATCTAAAAAATAAGAAGCACAGTGTACATTAATCAAAAAGGATAATATGAATTAAAATCGAGTACTGTTAAAACATTAAATAAGTTATACCCCAGAGGCTACATCTATATGGAAAATTCTGGGATAGATAATGTCAGGTGACAGTGTGTAATCCATGAACTTTCGAATTCTTGATACTTCAGTAAAATCATGATCCTTTTGGCTGAGAGGGATTGAATACGTAAGTGGGAATTCCTCCTCATCGGCACTTGGATAATGTATCCTCAACTGCTCAACCAGACGATTTTTGTGGAGTGTTTTTCCCAATCCAGCTCTGTCTGATTTCACAACACGAACGCATAATCTGTAATATAAGAAAAACATGGATTGCTTAATTATTTTCCTGCATTTGGTGACAGTCTATTATATACTATAAAATCTGATAATCTTGAATTCTAAACATGAATACAAATTATTCACCCTGATTCATCAACAATAGATGCAGCATCGCTTTCAACCTTTCCACGTGTACAAAATTTATTCCTCAAATAATGTTGAATTTTCTCCTCTGCAGAGACTGTCATTTTTGGTGTACGAAATTTGTCGAGGGCGGCGATTATTGGTGACTGGTACTCGTTTTCACTGCTGCAAATGACCACAAGACTGTACTCTACGAAAAGTGAAAAAAAAATCCGTATGTGATTAGACAAATATAAGTCTTTGATATTCGTGAATATTTGAATTTGAGAATCAAACACTTTTATTAACCTTTAACAATAATTACAAAGATAAAATGCCAGTCAATAAAAAAAACCCTAATTTTCTAAAATAAAGATTGTTCGTGAGAGTTATCTGAAAAACAAGTATTCCAAATAGTAGTAAATGAGAGAGCATATGTTTTAACTTTGTCTATTTTTGGGAGGAGAGGATGTTTACACAGTGCGTCTACCAGTTAAACTGGCATTTTCCTCTCATTTTTATTATTTATTTAAACCTGTTCTTGCAGCTCTCATTTCTTCCTTGAATTCTCTCAGTGATTCCTCACAGACATCATATCGAATTAAGTCTGCATTCACCAGACAGAAAATGAGACGATTTTTGTCGTGTTCTTCCTGTCTCAATGCTCTTCGAAAGAACATAATTACCTAAAATGCAACTATAGTTTATGCATATTTTTTAATGAAAAAATTTAAGTTTATCTTAATAACACGGTAAAAGCTTTAATAAATATGAATTAAAATAAGTATCTTGCTAGATTGATTAACTTACTTTTCTTACTGATTTTAACGGTTTTTTGCTAGATAAAAAATGTGAAGACAACGAACATAAAGCCAAAGGGCAATTAAAAATGAAATTCCTACCTCTTCCGTTGTTGTCAATTCTGTACACAGCAAGGCCTCATTTCTACTTGGTAGTGGCAACGTTTGATCATTCATAAACAGCGTCAATAGCATTGGTAATACTTCCTCTGGAATTGTATACGTTTTCATCTACACTATACATTCTAAAGGGACAATGGTTCATTTATACGAGTTTATATGAGACATTTGCTTTCTTAAAAAAAATGAATACTAAAACAAAGACAAGCAGAATTATTTCACGATAACGAAGAAAAGATTTATAAGCATGCAAAACTGAATAATTTTATTTTATGAGTTAAAATTATAGACACACTAAGCATAAGCAAACCACATCTATGTTATCCATAATGTAGCATTATGATTTTTATCTACATTAATTGTAATGTTTAATGGACTTTTGAGTTCGAATACTGTTCGTTATCTCCACGTATTTCATTACTAGTAAGATGAACACGATTTGTAAAAGGCAGAGATCTATGTTTGTCCACCATGTAACTCTGCGTTTTCCGATAGTTGTAATGTGCCTACATAAGCCGTTTACATGGTCTCGGTTCAGTATTATCAGTTTCACAGGCGTAGACGGACATATTCTACATGTAAAACTCTCGGTGAAGACAAGAGTTTCTGTGTCTTTATTCCATGGCAGAAGAAAAATTTATCAAAGAATCTTTCATCAGTTGAACAGGTCAGTGCAGTATACAAACAAATAGAAATCCACGTAAACTGCATAAATTGTAAACAAAGGTAATGTAAGATAACCAACATGAACACGCGTCGTCCATTCTACGCTGGTATGCGTGAAACGAAAGCAGTCAGGTGTAATGAATGCGAAGTGAATACCCCAATGCTGATATCAGACATAAGAAAACTAATATGGTGTTTGCCTATTCAAGAGTCGCATTAAGCTTTAAAATAGCAAGACATAGTTCTTGGATTACTAGTAATTCAGATTCGAACCTCCTTTATCAATCCTTACCCTGAGAACACACAATAAGATTAGGTTTTCCAGGTTTCAGTGGAGCTGGCAATGGACGACTACACACTTTAGTGTCTGCAAAAATATAATAATTTCCCATTTATAAACCTGTCAGATTTCAGTTAAATTGGTTCATAATTATCATATCTTTATAGACTTACTTGTGTCATAAATATGCTGGAGTATAAACCCTAAATGCTCCACACTCAAAAAGTCGTTCATGCTCAGAGATGTAAATTTCAAATATTTGTCCCAAATTTCTCTTAACCTCTTTTCAATGCTTTCAACAGCTTCTTGTCTAAAGGAGAAAAAAATCAACATTTACTTCGCCCAAATCTACTTTGTTTAAAAATTTAATTGATCCTTGTTCGTAAAACGAAAGGTAATAAAATCACAACATTACCAAATATCTCTAAGATCGCTTTATTCTTTTAGCTTGAACAAGTACGGTACCTCAGAAGATCCTCAATTTGTCTGTCAAAATCTTTAAGTGACACAGTATTAGGGTCCCTAGAGAATTCTGGATTAGATATTTCATTTACAGAATCAACTATGTTTTCCTCCTCTTTCTCATCCTCTTCATAGCACCAGATAAGGCCTAGAGACAGTGAATCATGCAAGCCTTAAACATCTAACTTGTCAAGTTTATAGTCTTATGTGTAAATGTTTAAAAGTATTTAAAATCTTCTACATTTTGCTAAAATATATTATTCTTACTGTATAATACGATTTTTGCAATAGTGCTTCCACTTTACCGGAAAAAAGGATTTATTTTTATTTATTACGTTGTTATTTTTCATGCTTTAACTCTATATATATATATATATATATATATATATATATATATATACATATATATATATATATATATATATATATACCTCGTTATAAGAAATTCTATATGATAAAAACTTTGCAATTCTTACTACTTTCAAAATCTTGAGGGTCAAAGGCATTAGACTGTATGCATTGCATTGCTCTTCTTTTCGATATGCCGGCATCGACGGCTGCTTTGAGAAAATCTTGAATTGCCTTGTTTTCTTGGGATGCTGAGGATTCACCGATGACATCTTTGTCCTGCTGTCTTGTCAATTGTTCGTCCAAGCTCTTGAATGCAAACTCTAAATCCTCCAGTGAACAATCTGACTTGACATATGAAAGGAGAGCAAGCAAATGCTTTGAATCATGACTTCCATGTCTGTACTTTGCTAATTCTTCCTGTAAAATGATCATTTGAGCAACTGTGAAGAAATTTAACGGATAATATCTATCCCTAGTTTCTCTAACATGCCCCATCCATTGTTCATAGCAATTTTCTAAGAAATCCGCTATCTTTTGCATATAGTCATTTACGACATCATCTTGTGATAAATGTTCATTTCTGCTTTTCGTATTAGTTCCCTTTAAAGTTGACTCTTGCTGCTGACCAAACTTTACAAAAGCACAGTTCTCAACCGATTTGTTGCAGAGAAACTCAAAATACCATTGTTTAAATAACACGCATCCTGATGAGTAAAGTTTGATAAAAATTCTTCCAAGTCTCGTTACGTTGTCAAAAATCTGAAATATACAGATTTTTACTACAAAACTTTATTCAGTCAATTTTATTTTGTTAATTCATAGACAAACATTTGGTATGTTATTGGTACACATTTTTTGTAGATAGCAAATATTTCTTAAAAGAAAAAGTATATATGTAAAAGCTTAGTTTTAAGCAAATTTGTAAGAATGAATTCTTAGCTTTATAAATAGGCAATTTACGTGTAACAATAATAGAAGTATGAATGTAACACCAATATCTTTTGTCTGAACAACAAAATGAATTACAGCTGTAAATTTTTCTATATTTTCCCTGCCGGCATCAGTTTTTCCAGAGACCAACATGAGACGACTCTGCAAATCCATCATATCACTATAGGAGTATTCTCGACCTTCTGTGATGGGATCTGCACGTTTGCTTTCCATGTGTTTTGATTGAGAGCATATAGTTTCTTCCAAATCTTCAGGACTCTCCTCATATGTCGGGGCAAGATCTTTAAATAATGTTTCCTGAAAATGTTCATCTGTTTGGACAACTCTAGGTACGCGAAGACAAACAACATCCTGTAAGCTCTACAAAGAATTTTGTATTTGTTTCACAAGTACTTCAAATATTCTTTTTTTAAAGATCAGTGTCATAATGTACAGTGATCGGAAATTATTTCATTGTTAGTTTAGTTTCTATACATAGCATCCATAAATGCTGTTCATCATCTAACAGATATTCATTATTTGCGGTGACCAGTCATTAGAATAATGTCATAATTCACCTATCACCTAATATCATATAATAGTTGTCAAATAGCAATCGGATAGTTATTTTTTGTTGGGACAAGATATTGAAATACTGCTGCCATTAACCAATAATTTATAGAAACATTCAAAACCTCACCAGCTGAATGTCATGTTTCCCTTCACAAGTTCCAACTCTGAAAATCCCACGCTGTTTTATAGCATCAACCTGTTTCAGTGACGTCACTTCAACGGAGCCATGGGCCTCTTTGATTTCAACGAACCATTGTAGTAACCGATTTGATTCGACCTAAAACATTGAGTTCTCAATTCTTATTTATATGTTAGTTACTAATTTTAAATATAAAAATTCTTAAATTAGGAGAAATACCTGGCTACACAACTATTGATTAAGTATGAAAAAGGTGTTTGTATAACCCTGTACCAGTTTTCGAGGTAAATCCACATCCTTTTCAAGACTAGTCCAAACTTCCTCACATCTTTGAATCAAAGCATCTTCTCCTTGTATGTTTTCAGTATAGAAAATTAAGGGTGCATATCCAATGGCTGCTGTATGCAAATCGGTTATATGTGCAATAAGGTCATCTTCTTCCACAGACATAAAAGCCAAGTCTGCGTATATTTTCAAATCTTTCACCCCGCCTGAAAAAATATTTGAAAACACAAATTAACGTACAAGACAAAATAAGTATGTCCATATTCATTATATTCATTGCGCTTGGAAAACTGGAAGTCGTACTGGTTGATATCTTTTTGGTTTTTTTGGCAAAGAACGCAATCAACGACGGAACCCATGGATTACACTATATTCAACCTACTTCTCTTTGAAAGTAGTGTAATGAAGAGAATCCTCGTGGGTTCCGACGATAGGAAGCAATATATTTATTCATTATAATTATGCTTTAAATTCCATCTCGAAAATATGTGCTAAAAACTAGAAGGAAGTGAATTGTTTGGAGATATAACTATTTTCATGTTTAATACCATTCATTTAACTGTCAACATTTTAAAAGGAAATGTTTGTTTGTTTGTTTGTTGTTTAACGTCCCTCTCGAGAATTTTTCACTCATATGGAGACGCCACCACTTGCCGGTGGAGAGCTGCAAATTCTATCCTATACTCGGCACTTACGGCCATTGAGCAGTGAGGGATCTTTTTCGTGCCAGCACCTACAGCGACACGGGACCTCGGTTTATACGGTCTCATCCGAAGGACCGGTCTCCACGTCCCACAGTGGGATTCGAACCCGCGACGTAAGGATCAACTCCTTACTCCGCAACTCTAGAGCAGACGCTCTAACCACTGCGCCACGCAGGCGACTAAAAGGAAATGAATGAGAATGATAAAACTTTTTAATATGCATATGTTCTTATTATATATCATATTCTCGAAGAATCTGAATGATAAACGTTATCATATTGACCTATTACTGGTATTCAGACTGTGATTTCATTTTTTTTTTCTTTTTACAAATATGTTAAACTAAAAGAAAGCAATTCACCATCCATTTGACATGAAAAAAGCATAACATTGCAATTGACAACCAGCAAAATTTTTAATGAACGCTAAAGATAATTGTGATAATTTGATCAAAAACTTAAGCGAAGTAGTTCCAAGTGTTTCCCAAATGAAATTCTTAATTTTTGATTGCCAAAAGACACAAAAATAAGAAAAATAAACGAGAGTAAGATAACTTGATTGAATTGATTGATACATTGCATGTCGCTTTACGTCCCGTCCCTGTTCACTCATATAGAGATGTCACTCACCATTTACCGGTAAAAGGGATTCAAATTTAGACCTTTACTCGGTACTCAAGGAGCAGTGAGGGTTCTTTATCATGACAACGCTTTGCATGACACGGGGTCTCAGTTTAAGTGTCTCATTTTAAAGACCCGCAACTTTCACTTCAAAGAGCAGAGTGCTTGGTGAAGGAAGAGTGGCTACCTATTTCATCGACTTAGGTCAGTCGCGGCCCAGATTCAAACCCATGACCTTCCGATCACGAATGAGAGTAAGAGGAAGAACTGGTAATTAAATAAAGCGAATATATTAGAAAACCTTTTCTTACTTTGCAAAATAGATTCTGTGTGCATTATTACTTTCCAAATCATGGGTAAGGATTTTCTAACAAGAAACGGAAACATAATCAACCTGTAGAAATGTGGAATAGAAATTTGTCTTGTAAATACGTAATGTAACTACATGTTCAAGTGTAAAATACAATTTCTTAGTTGGGGGTGGATTTTTTTCTACAAAAAACCATGTTCTCACATCATGCTTGCAAGTATACACCTAAAAATATACTTGCATAATGCTTAGGTCATTGCAAGTTTTTTTTCTATGTTTAGCGTCCACCCATCTTTCAAAAAACTTACCTACCTATTCTTAAAAAAACCCACACAAATCAAAAAAGGTAAAAACACAGACCGAATAGTCATAAAATCATGTCATTGAAAGGTAGGAGTTAAATGCTTAAAATATACCTTATATGACATATTGAAGACATATCATTACAGAAAAGGACAGAATGCACATATTTCAACCAGAATAATCAATTTCAGGTCTCCTGAGTTTGTTTTTTTTTCTTGATATTGGTGTCAAAAACCAAGAAACATGCAAACGCAAAACATTAAAGAAACTTGGAATGGCCTTAATCATCATTACCTTTCAAAGAATCTCGAAGCCATTTTACTAAAGCATTTGATTTGCAAAATGCTTTCAGACATTCCTTTTTCTTTTCATCAACTTTTTCCAACTTTTGATTAAAAGAATGAATCTCACTAGCCATCTTTTTCAGGGAAATATCTTTGTCTCTGTCCTAAATAAAAAAAAAATATTTTGATATTGTTGCAAAAAGTCGTATATAAACAGCAAAGGATTCCATCAATATGCAAGATCAGGCCATTTAACTTCGATGCAAAATAAACTATAAAACTTTTAAGATTTATATATACTAACAGATCGTTCAATTAATTCCACGGAGTCAAAATTCCCCTTAATATTGTTTGAGATTTGTATTTCTTTCAGCAATCCTGCAGTCTCAACAGACCGTGAGAAGCCTTTATATAGTCGGAATTCGGCTATGCGATTTTGTATCCAGGGCTTTTTTGAACCTCTGTTCATGGCTGTAAATTCTCTCTGCAGACTGTCATCATCTACTTTGTGTAGCTGTAATGTCTCGATGTCCCTGATGGTTATTGTTCCATTTTCCAGGCTGGTACAGTATTCCTCCCACATATCTTTTGCAGGATTCAAAACCTCCTCAAATAGCTCAAAAAAATCATACTTTCTCATATCCCCTACTGTCTTCTTCTTAGAAACTGATTTAAGAACAGTTTCAAATGTTTTGCTTTGTTTGTAAAATGAAATGCATTTTACAAAAGATTTTACAGGTTCTTCCAGGATTTCAGTAAATACTTTCAACCTTGGGGTATACATCGTAAAATCTGACATCTGTTTTGGAATTACGCATATATCTTCTAATTTCATCTTTTTCCAGTTTTGACGAATGTTTTCGTAACCGTTCGGTAAACCTGATTTATCTGTCAAAAAATAATTTAAAGTATATTTGAAAGACGTTGAATAAAAAAAGCCTCAAACAGAAACAGGACATTTTAATAATTTTTCACTTTTATTAAATATACACGCTCTTTACTCAATTAAAATACAACTGTGAATGGAATGTCATTTCAATTAATTCTTTCGATTCTCTTGGAAGTAAATGTAATGCATAATATATTAATCAAAAGAAATATTAAAACCAAAGAGAATAATCCCAAAGATACTCATATGTGTACAGTGTGTTTATCATTGTCAACATGAATTTATATCAAGATATTGAAACTTACAGTGTCGCAACATCTTTAAAATCATCTGTAAACCCTCAACAATTTTTATTTCGTCATTTAGGGTTTTCATGTCTTTCTCCCTGCATTCAAGAAGTATGGACAAAGAATCAGGTGTAAATGGCAAATTGAAATCTGGGATTGTTTCTAATTTTTCTGCAATATTCCTCAGATTCTCTGAATGTTTTAGTCCAAGTATCAGGTCCTGTATCACAATTGTGTTGTTCTCTAACACTATAATGAAGTCTTGAAAAATACCTAGTGATCTCTCAAGTTTCTCTACTGATTTACCATCCATGTAATTGAAAAGTGATCCCTTTTGGTCTTAAAAAAATAATAATAGTGGTTGGATATAGTCAGGTAAACTGCAATGGATAATAGATTAAAATGGAATTTCAGCACTTTGGACCAAAAAAAGCTGCAAATTAAGTTTTAAAGGATTTATTACTTACAATAGCTTTCAACATACTGTGGGTAACAGTTGCAAGTTAAAATTTGCTCTAGGTAGGCTCTCGATGAGGCATTTAAATCAACTGTCCACACTCTTTGGAAGAATTTTGATAGCAGAGGCACAATATAAACATTTTTCCTTACCAGATCTTCTGTAAATTGGAATAAACCAAAGTATGTCCGGTCCTACAAATTTAATATAAGATCTATGTAAGGGCCCTGTCACACCAAGCTGCATCCACACGGAGTCATTACGGCGTTGTAAAAATGTTAAAATCGCAGTGGAATCACAGGGAAATCGCACAAATTTCTGTACAATTTTTACAATGTGAAGATGTCACGGCGTCCTTACGGCGACCCACGCGTTTCTGCGGCGTTCTCGCGGCGTGCTACTGCGTTCCCAACGGAGATCTCTTCGCGATTGACTGCGCTTCCGCGGAGCTTTTACGACGTGTTAGGAGTTGTCACCTCGCGGTCACGGCGTTCTCACTGCGCTTGCTGCGTTCACAATACGTCCACGATGCGTTCTTCACTATGGATATATATTCAGAAGGAGTGTAACACATTTGCTTTAAAGATTCGAGTCACATAACGAAAAGACTTCAAAAATGATATATTTGAATAATTTAGTACTAAATTACTGTTAGTTTTATAATTAAAACCCTTCTTTTTTCAATTATATCAATTCAGATGTGTTTTTTTTCTTTGATTTTATTATGAATGTAAAAAATAAACACACTGAAAAGTTGTTATAAAATTTAAGTAATTCCATCGCAACTCCACTGAAACAACAGAAAGGGTTATGGTGTAATTTTTACTTCCCAATTCTACTCCCATGTTCCTGGGCAGGAGTGCAACAAATTCATTAGAATTATTGCTGATCAAATATGAGGCCATTGCTCTTGTTTTGTGAGCTGGCTGACAACGCTCTAACAACGCCGTGAAAGCGCATTGTGATCGCCAACGTACGCGGTAGAAACGCCAAGGGAGCGCAATGATCGCAGTGACAACTCCTTGTTGTCGCTGTGTAATCGCAGTCAAAAAATCACGATACAATTAATCTCATTAGAAGCGCCGTAACAGCGTGATAGAAACGCCGTGACATCTCCAAGGACTCCGCGAGGTCTCCGTGGAAGCGCAGTCTACTATCACTGCGTTCATGCTGCGATCATGTGCATCTTCACGGCGTGCGTAAGGAGCTCCCACTGCGTTGTTGGAGATCTCACCGAGCTGCTACGGCGATCATACTACGTTTCTACTGCGTTCTTATCAGACTGCGATCACACAGCGCGTATTTTGTGCATGCCCAAAGTGCGCGCCGTCCCCTGGCGTTCTAGGAGACCCTACGCGACCCTACCGCGTTCAGTGGAGATCTCACCAGGTTGTCACGGCGCTGTAGGAGACTACTGCGCTCACCTCGGCGTTTTGCATTTTTTATGGACGCCATGCGATCGCCGTGAGGACGCAGTCCCGGTGTGACAGGGGTTTAATGAGTATAATTGTGAACTAAATAAAATTCTAAAATCAATCTATTTTTAACTTATAAGTACAGCATGTACATAAATATATATAAAAATGACATTTTGTACCTCATATTTTAAAAATTAATTCAATACAAAAGAAAATGTCTTTGCAAATTTAAGACTTCTAAAAACACTTGTGAGAAGCAATTGGATTTAATTATCAATAACCTTTAAAATCTCTTCAAATGATGAGAATGTCTTTCGTTCCACTAGTGACCTCAACCTTTCTGACTGTATTCTGTGCATGCCATGAAGATACAAATCCACCACTTCCTTTGTACCGCTCTTAATTTAAAAAAAAAAAAAAAAAAAAAAAAAAAAAAGAAAAGAAAGAAAGTTACAACAATAACGTGTCATACAATTGACGATTTTATTAAAAGCAACTTAAAGCTGTAAAAAACAACAACCTTGTTTTAGATAGAAAACAATATCTTGTCTAATATACATACAGAAAACTAATTATAAACGATGAAATCTAGCATTTTTCAACATAAGAAACGCTAATATAACTGATTTAAACTTTTCATGAAAATAAAAAAGCTTTAAAGAAAATAAAACACCTTACATTCATGACGTTCTCGTAACTACAGTTCGCAGAAGGTACTTTTTTTGAAGAGCATTGATAATTTACTTACTTTAAAAAGTTCATCAAATCGGCCCTGTGTAATGGACTGATTTATTAACTTATAATTCAAATGTGCAATGCAGAATATTGTGAAGGTACTTACATTGCTTAAAAATTTCTCTACAGCCGATAAAATCGTTCTTTCAAAATTCCCAGGAAGATTATCAAGAGGATAATCAGCGTTTATTGACAAAGCAAACTCTCCGATCTGTTAAAAGACAAATACATTTTTTATGCTAGCTACAGGATATGTCCTGAAGTTTTCACAAATCCTTGAAATTTTGATTCAGGAGAAAACAAGTAGACAGCAAAATTATACAATAATCAATTTAAGCAAAGTTTTTTCTTTTTTTAAATAAAAAAAAAAGTTTTCTCATTTCGAAATGATATGACTACAAATGAACATATTCAATAATCCAAAATCAATTCTTTTTAGGTAATACCTGAAGATCTGCACCTTGACTTCCCAAAAAATCGCCAAGCAGAGTTGTTATCAAAATTGGTAGAGATTCCATTTCTTCACACACCACGGTTATCTTGTCCAAAATGGCTATAGACAGCAGTGAACAGTGGAAACAGGTCAAAACCAGTTTCCAGTCTTGTCGCATTCTTTGTAGTGCATGATTCAAAATAGCATTCAACAGACTGTGATGTATTTTATGTTTTACGTCAACTTCAGCCCATGGACTATGGTAAAAGAAGCAAAATATTACATGTAAGTAATCTGCCGGTATTTAATACATTTATTTTCATTTTTATTATTCGTTTTGATTGGCCTATATAAATCACAATATTATCCTTAATAGCATGAAAAAAAAGTTTTGGTAATGGCTAAAGACAAGTTTGTATATCCTTTTATGATGGGGTTGATAATAATCTGTACACAATATTATGGTATAGACCGGCGACATACATACAAAAAATATTATATATAACTTAAAATGTATAATTATTTTATTACGATTTCAAACAGGTTATCCCATAATAGATGAATATAAAGCAGACAGATAGGTTTTCATTATAGTTTTTTCAGTTCGAAATATTATGATAGCTTGAAAGTGGACTTGTCTAACTGTCAATGAAATTTTTCGATACTTAAATAAGTGAGTACATACTTCGCTTACCAAATAAATATCAAGCATCTTAAATCTTAAACTTTTTCGATCTACTAGTATATGTTTTAACGTCATATGTATTGAGCTGACAGATATGATTTAATATTCGTATATCTAAGGAGATAATGTAATTCATATTTGTTTGAAATTTCTATGTATCATTCAAAAATATTGAAAATTATGCATGCAAATTCTAAAATTTATATCAGTGAAACTCAGAGCTCCAGATAATTCTTATCCTAAAGTTTATTTACTCCCTGATTTTCAAATCAATGCAGATTTTGATTTTCAGGAAAATGATTTTTAAGAGTATTTTGTTAACATATAAATGTTTTGACATCTATTGTGATTCTAGCTTGTTATCGAAATAAAAGTATTAATTTTAGAAGAGGAAAGGAAAAAAAATACAAATAAGATATAGTTCCTGCATTTATTAAAATAAAAAAAGTCTTTTTGCTAAAACTGAGAACCTGTCTTTGTCAAAGAAGAACACACAGTAGGTAAAGTTACCATAGGCACAAGAAAAATTTTCGGAAATTGGCAAAGAACCCATCAAAAGAACGTTATGTACAAACCATGTGTAACCGTCCTACTAAACAGAGAACCAAAGAGAACTCTTAATTAATTGGTAAATTCAAATACATATTATGCGTAATGTTTCTCTACAGCAATTTATTTATTTAATTGGTCTTGAAATTTAATAGTGCTCCTTTTTTGATATGGTTTTGATATAGTCTTCAATGCTTTTTTAACACATCATTTACTCTTTGATAACATTGCAGTATAAACTTTTTTTCTCCAGCTACGATTTTTTTTCCACCAAATACCCATTGTTTTTTTAGGTAACATTGTTTAATATTACTTGTGTATTACACTTGTTACAATATCATCTTACATAGACAGCACAAGCTTTTGTGCGCTTAAAAGGAACTAATATGCCTTGTGCATAGTGTCTCTATTTAAAGACATCGATTTAAATCTAAATCTTTGAATTCTTTCTCCCAAACATGGAAATCGTCGTCGCCATTGCTAGAATTTATTGGTTATTAAAACGCTTTGAAATCAATATTTTACTTTGAGAAAAATGAAACACTGAGCTAACCTCAATTCAAATCATTAGCTAGTATTTGCATAATTCAATTCGTCGTATGCAGTACTTTCATAGTGTACTGCTTATCTATGATAGCTAATGCGTAACTATACCCTAAGTTTTAATTTTCGATGCGTATTTCTTAAAATTCAATGCGTATTTCTGCAAAAACGCACCTTATCTGGAGCTCTGGAAACAAAAAATATTATAAATGGGTTTTTTTTTCTGGGAATACCATCATATAATGGTTTTATCAGCTGTTAGTTGGCCAAACACTTTCATGGTATTCTTTGAAATACACAAATGTTACTATTATTAGTACATAATACATTCTTTGGAATAGACCTTACCTTTGTACTGTATCTGTTGTAAGAGAGGACAATTTCTTCAGTAAGATCACATACACATTGCCCACACATTCTTGAAGAACATGCGTCTTTAATAATAAAACAAATATGTATTTGTGAAACACTGGTGCCCCTGTATGTCAGTTCATGTCCTAGGTTTAAGATTTTAAAATGTAAGTCAAGGTCAAGAGATCAATAATATTTCTATCCAAAGAAATGCATAGTCGCAAAGAATACACATCTGAAATGTGAAAACCCTAGCACCAACTGTTCAAAAGTTATGACAAAGGTTAAAGTTTTTTTCAGAAGCAAGTAAAAATACATGGTCACGGTCATTATGTAAATAATGTTGGTACCAAAAGAATGCATTTGTCAAGAGCAATATACAAGTGAATTATGAAAGCCCCATCACCAACTGTTCAAAAAGTACTGACACGGTGTAAGTTTTTCAAAGCAAGTAAAATTCCAAGGTCATGAGGTCAACAATCCTGAACCTAAAGAAAGATCTTATTACAAGAAATACACATGTGAAATAATAAATCCCTAGCTCTGATCATTCGAAAGTTATGGGCAAGATTAACGTTTCGGGGGGACAAACAGACAAACAAACGTCCAGACCTTCAATGACGGGGGCATAAAAATGAAATATAAAGGCAATTATATCACCATCAGAGGAAGACATGTTCATGACATGAAATTGATAAACCTCACATTTTAGTCTTTCAAATGTACCTAAAATTGTCCAATAAGTGAACAAAAGAATGGTGTTTTATGTAAAGGATGTAAGCCTCAAACTGTACATTCTGTGAGAGAATGTACATTCTCGATCAGTTCTTTCTCCTACAGAATGTACTGTTTGAGACTTATATCCTACCTAAAACATGATCTTCATTGTACATGCTCTTGCGTAAAGAATAAGTTGGGAGACTTATTCTTAGGTAAGAATGGAATATTACTATAAAAATAAGGAAAGTTGACGACGGAATAGTTAGAATCATCTCTGTCATTTGTCCAAAAGTTTAAATTTTAATTGACCATTGTCTATGGTCAATAAAACATCTATTTATGAAATAAATGTGGCAGATTCTTTGATGTCTTTTATTCCGAGTTCGAAGATATATTGCTCGGACTTATGAATAAAACAACTAATAGCAAGAGAAAACTTTTTCAATGAGGAAGAGAAATAGCAAGCTTTCATGAATTTAAAGCAAACTCTTACACTTACCTGAGAAGAATTTTCAAAGTAATGTTCAATCGTTGCCAATTTAATTTCAAGCTGGATCTCAAGTATTGGTATTACTTTGGGAACATGAGATATGTCTAGGGAAGCCATGAATGTCTTCTGTAAGGTGGCGTCCAGTTGGAATAGAGGTCTATGTGTTGCGACAAACTCTTCACAAGAACTACATCGTAAATTTTTTTCTGTATTTCTATACTAACATTATGAATGAACTAAAATGATTTCATAACTCCTTCTTTTCTTTTTAAAATATAAGTCTACATTAAAAAAAATAACCGTTAATCTTACATAGTCCAACGACTCCGTTTCATTTCTTCTTTTTCCTTACTGAATTCTGCAAAGCACCACCATCTCTCTTTCTTTGTTTCAATAATTTCAAATTTGCTAAGATCTAATGGAACGAATGGTTGTAAGTTGCCCTCTAGGAAGTGAACTAATGGCATGCACGCTAACCAGGTGGGATCAACATAACTTCCACTAATAGTTGTGCTTTTCAAAAAGGTCACAATGGAAGATTTTGCCTTCCTGTAAAATATCATATCTTAAATTGGAATTGGTCTAAGCACTCATTGTTGCTATATTGCTCATATATATATTATGGTAAAAAATGAAAAAAAGTGAACATGAACATTCCTTACTCCTTTGCATGTTTTGACAATTGTTTTGCAAGGTAATCTAATTGGTCGCAAGCTTGATGGTCAGTATCAGGTCTCAGCACTAAACATTTTTGTAGGGACTTTACATGGAGGCCATCTATCATTTCAAAAGGAATTTCCAAATCTTTGATGAGTTCTATGACCACAATGGATGTTAAAAGTGACAGGCCAATGTCCTTTCTTTTTGTATCCTCCAGCACCTCAACAGCAATATTGAGATGGTTCCATAATTGCTTTAAAATATAAATGGTTATGATATACTGGTGCATTCTATGACTCTAAGCTACAATTTAAAAAAAAATACATATTCTTTACTTCTTGCAACTAAAAAGTTTTGAGAAGCAATCATGTCTTTTTTTATTTTTTCAAAATGGCACAACATGCTACCTGTTTGAAAAGATAAGTGTCTGGTGCTTTCTGATTTTTCAAAAATTGGTCTTTTATGCCACCCTGCTTAACATTTTTAAAGATATCTTCCAATTCATGTAGCTTCTTTCTTTCTTTAAGAAATTCTCCAACATTCGGCAAATAACGTTGCAAAATGTGTTTGCCGTCGTTCAACATTATTTCCAGAAATTTTCCAGTTATCTTTTCTTTGATATTGAAAAATAACCCCTTTCTGGCGGCATAAATACACCCATCATACTGATTCCATTCGCCTGAGGAAAAAAAAATCATACTGTCAAATCTTATTCGAAATATAAGCTTTCTATACTTTGATTTTTTGCTGATTATTGAACCCCTTCCCCCTTCTCTCTCACAATTAACGGTGTTTGTGTGACATACCTTCTACGACCGATGGGACGACCAGCTCACGGTATCCATATTTATAAGGTCCATAAGTATGAAGGTAAAACTCTCGCTCTGAATCGATTTTTTGATCGTTTTGTCGTTGGCGTTGGAACATGTACAAGTAGCGCAATGGTTCTTTCAGTAAATCTTTTTCTATTATAGCCATTGCCTTAAGACGTGTGGGATAATTTTTCCTGCATTGTAGGAAGAATTCATTAGTGAATGAACAATTAATTATTATAAATGATAAAAACATATTAATTTTCTTTCGAAATAGGAGTAAATATGAAAAAGCCACTGTACATGATTCATATAAGGTTTGTATTCACTCGCCAACATTGCAACGAGCTTGATATTGAAGCTATTCCTAAAAGATGCATTACATGGAGAAAGAGGGAATTCATATCTTATTTAAATACGTGATAAGATTAAATAACATTCGATTTTAATTAATAGCTTCTTAAAACTTCACAACTGATGCACACTTTTTTTAGTCATACACATGTACTTACAACTGGTTTTCTGTTGTATATAAAACTGCTCCTTTTTCTGTCTCCCAGTCACTATATGGAGGACCAAATACAACGAAGATCTTGTCTTTTTGAATATTCATCTTAACATTTGGTGCCAAGAACGCATGAAATATCACTCTCACCACCTGTTTCACAATGATTTCAACACGAAATGTTTTCATAAAACAAATCATTATCTCTAAACAAACAAACAAAAAAAAAACACAAAAAAACAAAAACAAAAACAAAACAAAACAAAAACAAAACAAAACATTCAAAGCATTACTTCTAAGAAACACACACCTTCTTTTTAACAACTTCTGGTTGGCCTTTTTCAATTCGTTTAGAAGACTGACTGTCTCCAGATTTCTTTTGTTGGTTTTCGGATTCTTTCTCCATTTTGGCGAGCTTTTCTGTGTTTTCCGTCTGTTTTGTCTCTTGAACCTTTTCTTTCTCTTCTTTTCCAGTGATGTTATTGTTGACTTTGTCAGTTCTAATCTTATCCTGGTCAAACGGGCCACTGGTACTCTCCGAGTGTGTGTTCCTTGGCTTACTGTCTTGGTCCACTTCACCTTCTTTCTCATCAATAATTTTCCATTTCTCTTCCTCCTCAGTTGTTTGTCCTGATGAGATCGAATTCAAAATGTTACCAGCTGAGTCCTCATCAACAGTTGATGTTTTGTTCCCTCTCTCTGTTGTTTCTTGTGATTCTTTTACTTTTTCTTCTTCTTTAGAACATTCAAAGTCACTATCTTGGATAGGAATATCTTGGGGCTTACTCTGTTCTGTTGATTTTTCCTGACCAGTGTCTGCCATGACTTCAGATTCTTTCATAGTTACAAGGTTTTGTCTTTCTTCTCTATCATTTTGATCTTTTTTCTCAGTCTTTGAATTTTGTCCTTCGTCCTGCATTGATCCGCTGCTATTTTTCTCGATGTCCTGAACCACTTTCAATTCTTTTTTGGGGTCTTTCTCTGTCTTTGTCTCATCTCTCATCATATTTTGAGAGACTTCTGTAGTAATTTCTTCCTTTGTTTTTTTATTATCCGTATTTATCATTCCAGTTGGTTCATTTTGCCTCTCAGCAAAACTACTTGATGCTTTTTCAACTGTCGCCTCAGTTGAGCAATCATTGTTCGCTTTTGATGACGTCTCACTGTCTTTGCCACCACCAGGATCTTCGTGCTTTTTCATGTCTGTTTTCAGGCACTCAGGAACGGCTAAATAAATACAAAAGAGACAACGTACTTATAATGATCAGTTTTAAAGCTGATGTCTAAATACTTATGCCTAATTATTCACTAAATGAGGATTTATGATGTGATCTCATGTATTCCATCGTTTATTTCATCTGTTTCTTGGCCAAACAAAAATAGATCCATACCGCATACAAGTGACATGCAATTTGTAAACCTTAATCGAAAGTTTACATCTTTTCGTTGATTGTTTGTGTGGTGGAAACTATGCCAAATTGTCAAAACAAAAGTATTGATTCTAAAATGAGAAAGAATAAGGATATATCTTACACTTGTCTGTTTCGTTGGAGGTACTCCTTTCCTCCAATTTGTCGGATTCCAGACTTCTTTCTGACACAGGTGTGCCACAGGAGGGACAGTACTTGAATCCTTCCGCCAGGTCCCCATTACAGATGCTGCCGTTACTGCACTTTTTCTGGCATTTGAACATCTTGGTTAAAGAAGTACTTTTCTGATGATACGTTCTGTAAAATATCTTTCATCAAATGTTGTATATGTACATGTACGAGCAGATTTCATTTGATTAAATAAAGTCTTCTGAAAAGACAGTACATCCACACACACACACACACCCTCACAAACACACACACATACATATATACATACATACATATATATATATATATATATATATATATATATATATATATATATATATATATATATATATATATAATCAGGAATTTCATGTAATTTCTGAATTTTGGGAAATACCTGAAATTCCTACTCTGCTTAGGAAATAAGTGCATTTACTGTTTTCAGTTAGGAAATACACATATTTACTATTTTTTTAGTACTTTTTACACGTATTTACTGACTGTGTTTTTGATATATATTTAATATGTATCTAATAATTTAATATACTTATATAATTAAACTTTAAAACACTTTTTTGGAAATATTTCAACCATATTCTTGGCCTTCAACAGTCGTGAAATAAACATGGCAAATGAAAAATATATTTTAAAAAGTGTTTAAAAATTTACACAATTCATTGATATAACCAAACGATACTCGATATGATAAAACAAGATGTGTTTGTGAAACACTGATGCCCCCATATGGCAGCTTATGGCAAAGGTTAACGTTTCTCAAATGCATGTCAAACTCCAAGGTCAAGAGTTCAAAAATGTTGTTACCCAAAGAAAGGACTTGTGTCAGCGGATATACCTGATAAATATGAAAGCCCAAGCACCAACCATTCAAAAGTTATGGTCAAAGATAATGTTTTTTAAAGTGGGTCTATCTGCAAGGTCATGGTCAAAGGTTCAAAATTAATGGTACGCAGATAAAGACCTTGTAATAAGGAATACACATGCAAAATATGAAAGTCCTAGCACATACTGTTCAAAAGTTATGGCGAGGGTTAAAGTTTTTTCAAAAGTAGGTCAAACTCCAAGGACGAGGTCAAAAAGTCAAAATTGTTGGTATCCATAGGAAGGTCTTGTCACAAGGAATATACCTGTGAAATTTAAAAGCCCTTGTGCAAACGTTAACTGTTAAAAAGTTATGGCCAAGGTTAAAGTTTTTTAAAAGTGGGTCAAACTATAAAGTCAAGGTCAAAAATATTTACACCCATTGAAAGGTCTTGTCAAGATAAATATACATGTGAGATATGAAAGCCCTAGCACCAACTGTTCAAAAGTTATGGCCAAACTTAAAGTTGGGTAAATCTTTGCAAAAATGGGTCAAACGCCAATGTCAAGAGGTCAAATGTTGGTACACAAATGAAGGTCTTGTCACAAGGAATAGACATGTGAAATATGAAAGCCATAGCTCCAAACAATCTAAAGTTAAGGGCAATGTTAAACAAACAGACAGACAGACAGCTAGACAGACGGACGGACAGGGCAAAAACTATATACCCCCGAATCTTTGATTACGGGGGCTTAAAAAACGTAATGAATTTGAAAAACTACTCTATTTTGGAAATAATTCTATCAAAAATGAAAATAATAATGGAGATAACGAACAGTATTCAAACTCAAAAGTCCATTATACAATACAAATTTTGGAGCAAAGCAAACACTGACCGCTAAAACATCAGAGGTGGGATGATAATAAAAATAACAAACCTTATTCTCTCTGCAAGTAAACTCGATCCGTCTAGCTGGCGATTAAAGAATTTATTGCAACTGCGTCAATGCCAAAACGAAAAAAATGCACCAAGGAACGGTGTACAAAAAGATATCAATATACTAATAGTTTAAATATCAAAGTGTGATGAATGAATTAGAACAATAAAGTTGGACATTTTTCTTCATTAAAAACCAATTTTGAATTATGATACTTTTTATCTCAATATTTTTATTAATAAATATTATTATAAAATATTATAAACCCTCAAAAGGCCTCATTCATTTTCGAAAAATTAAAGAAACGAAAGTAGACCCTTTACTGAGAATTCCATGTTCCGATATAATCAATACTCAACAGAATTGGGGAAAAAAATCAAACCATACATTTGTTTGGTATTTAAGGTTTTGCCAAAGGCCAAGATGTTCAAAAATTTATTTTTACAATAGCTCCAAAACTATGTGAGACATAAAGTTAAAACTTTTAGAGTTTATAAATATATCATTGATTAACAGACAGAAATTATCACATGAAAACAAGTATTTAAAAACAAATATTTTTTGAGAAAAAAAAATTAAAAAATTTGCATATTTTAAAAAAAATGCACCTGCTTAATTCTGTACTTTTAGTGAAAACCATCATTGCAGAAATAATATATGTTTATCAATGAAGGGCGAGTTGGACGTGAATGGTCTCTGAAAGGCTGTTCTTGAAAGCACGACATGTATAAAGACAAGACACCTTTAAAATCCGCCATTTGCATTGTACTTTCGGTTTCAAATCTTAACATTTGGACAAAATAAACATAAAAAAATTTGCATATTTTAAAAAAAAATGCACCTGCTTAATTCTGTACTTTTAGTGAAAACCATCATTGCAGAAATAATATATGTTTATCAATGAAGGGCGAGTTGGACGTGAATGGTCTCTGAAAGGCTGTTCTTGAAAGCATGACATGTATAAAGACAAGACACCTTTAAAATCCGCCATTTGCATTGTACTTTCGGTTTCAAATCTTAACATTTGGACAAAATAAACAGGGAAAACAACTTTCCAGAGGCTATGGAAGTCCAACTTGCCCTTCATTGATAAACATATATTGTTTCTGCAATGATGGCTTTCACCAAAAGTACGGAATCAATTAGGTGCATTTTCTAAAAATATATGCATTTTTTAAAAAGAATTTTTCTCGATAAATATCTTTTTTTAAGTATTTGTTATCAAGTGATACTTTCTATCTGTTAATCAATGATATATTTATAAACTGTAAAAGTTTTAACTTTATAAACCACAAAGTTTTGGAGCTATTGTAAAAATAAATTTTTGGACATGTTGACCTTTGGCAAAACCTTAAACTCTTTCATAAGGGGGGGCACACCTGTGACGGTACATATTGTCGTTTTGTACATATTGTCGTCGGCGACAATATGTACCTACCCTCACTGCACACATTGTTGTCCATCGGTACATATTGTCGCCGGCGACAATATGTACCGAGACGAGCCTTATTTTCCTCCTGCATAATGGACGACAAAATGTACAGTCATGCATCGGCACATATTGTCGTCGGCGACAATATGTGCAGTCAAGGTCGGCATATATTGTCGTCGATATATTGTTTTGACGAATATTTACTTGAGAAAGGAAAAAGAGATTGACAAACACACACACGCACGGAGGAGACAGACAGCATTACTAGCAATACTGTAGGAAGAAAACCTTTTGGTCAAAAAATTTTGTCCAGAATTGACGTACATCACAATGATACATGTATGTCAAGATACCGTAATTCATCAGATATATGATGAGTCAGCCTATTCTTCTTAATATATGCATGGAGATTGAATACATGTACATGTATTAGTTTTTTTTTTTGTTCAGTAGTAATGATTATTTGGAAATAATTTTTTGCGTTATTCTTATATATACAATCATGTGCCGATATAATTGGTGTTGGGGTTAATTTTTAGATCACCTGAACTGGAAGTTCAAGTGAGCTCTTCTGATCACATTTTGTCTGACCGTCCGTCCCTCTGTGAACGTTTCACAATTTCAGCTTCTTCTCAAAAACTACTGGGTCAATTTCAACTAAACTTGTCACAAAGCATCCTGGATAAAGGGGATTCAAGTTTGTTCAAATGAAGGGCCATGTCCTCTTTCAAGGGAAGGAGTTCAGAAAATTTAGTGACATCTTTGAAAAATCTTCACAAGAACCACTGTGTCAGAAAAGTTGAAACTTATGTGAAAGGTTCATTATGAAGTGTAGATTCAGTTTAATTCAGGTCATGTCCCTAGGGGGAAGGGTGTGGCTACAAAAGGTGATCAAAGTTTTTCATAGAATATTTGAAAAAAAAAATTAATCTTTCAAAATCTTTCCAAGAACTACTGGGTCAGAAGATACCAATGTGAAAGCTTCATTACATAGCATACGTTCAATTTTGAGGTGCTGGCACGTAATAAAGATCCCTCAATGACCCTGTGTGCCAAGTATAGGTCTAAATTTGCAGCCCTCCACCGGCAAGAGGTCACGTCTCCATATGAATGAAAAATTCTCGAGAGGGACATTATACATACAAACAAACAAACAAAAACAAAATTAATTTTGTTCAAATCATAACCCCATGGGTAGGATAAGTCCACAATGGGCAATCAAAGTTATACATAGGAATATTTACAGAAAATCTTTAAAAGTCTTCTAAAAGTCAATGACAGATGAAGCACCGGCGCAACCCCCCCCCCCCCCCCCTTTCTCAACCCCCGCTTGGCGGTTTGATTTTTATGTGGTTTTGGTAAAAACTTGTATAATAATTATACTCTCAATTTAGTCTATAGCTAAAATTTCATAGTTTATTTTACATATACAGTAACACACCTTTACATACAAATGACTTCTTTTTTGCTTTTCAAAAACAATACTGAACCGCGCACCCCCACCCCCTCCGCTCTGAAATTTCTGGATCCGCCACTGAGAAGCAGCAGTAGGCCCGTGATTAGTGATGTTTAAATGGAAGCATCTTCAGGTAGTATCTTCAAATCAAACCGGGCCTAGGGTACATTGGGCCACAATGGGCGATTAAAGTTTTACTTAAGGAATGGATTTAATAGCTACCCAATTTATACGGTATAAAGTGGGTTGGGGTAGTTTACGCTTTATAAACCGCGAAGCGGTTTAAATAAAAGCGTAAACTGTTCCAACCCACTTTATACTGTATAAATTGGGTAGCTATTAAATTCATTCCTTATAATTTTATTTTCATTCATTTAGTGTAAGAAAAAAGATTATTGTCCTAAAAAATGACTTCAGGTTGTACAAAATTTAAATGTAAAGATTAAGTAAGGCGGATCGATACGTTT